ACGTAGACAACAAGGCCATGCTGGCCTTGTGTCGAGAGCAGCGCTTGGAGCACAGAACGAAGCACATTGCTCTCCGCTACTTCCTTGCTCGTGAGCTGCAGCAGCGTGGTCAGTTGCGACTTGCGTACGTGGCCTCTGAGGCCAACACTGCTGATGTGTTCACCAAGGCACTCGCGCCTTGTGACCATCAGCGCTTTTGCACCCAGCTGGGTCTTGTGCCTGTCTTGCCTCACTTGCTCTCCTCTTGATTTCACTTGTACTGTGACATATATATATACCTGCTCTTGCTTGTCTAGTTTTATATATATGTCTGTACTCCTGCATGTGAACTGGCCTCTGGCCCTGCTCTTGTGCTCGGACTGTGTGGTGACTTTGTGATCCACCCTGAGCTTGCTTTGCTTTGCTTGACTGGTCTTGTGACCCCTTGTTATGCTTGTGTAGGCTACAGTGGGTTAGCCTATAGGGGGTACACAATTCTAGGGTTTCCTACTTGTACTCATTTCACTGCTAGTTCATTCATTCCTGTTCGCTTATTCTCACACGGGCGACTCGATCTCAGGGCAGGGAAAAAAAAGAAAACTCGATTTTCAGTGGTGGGCCCTAGGAAAATTTCCCACTAGGGAACCTGCTCTATACCATGTGAAGAAATGAGGAATGAATGAACTAGCAAGCAGGTGGGTACAAGTAGGAAAACCTAAAAGTGTTGTACCCCATATTGTCTACCCCACTACAGCCTACACAGACTATGGCATATGAGTTTGACACTTTTGATGTCTACTACTAATTCTTATTCTCCTGCCTTGGATGAGATTTGATGTTTCCGTCCATACTTGTTTTTCCGTCTATACTTGTCTACTCCGGGATCAAGTGGTTGAAAGGATGGCAATGTTTGCTTCTGTTGAAGTACCTTCATTTAGATTCTTTAGTTGTGCCAGATCATGTTGATTATGGTGTTAGTGCGCAACCCAGGTCTGATGTATGAAAATATATATTTATAAAAATCTAAGTTTCTCCATGCACATGCCTAACGTAAGAATTTTCCCAATTTATATTGCATGCGCCAATATGCATCTCAAAATCTGATTGGTCCACGTGGCATTTTTCCTTCCACTCATCACCTTGACAGCTGGCATGAAATATCTTTTCCCGTGGCGCTCGGGCGTCCACGTGGCAAAGGGGTGGTAAAGGGGACTTAAAGCCCAAGACCTTCAAACAAGTGTCACTTCTGATGTCACCTTTTAGTTGTATTGTGTGGTTGCGATATGGCCTCTCTTTTGAAGCTTTGTCGTCACTTTTCCGCAACTTCGAAAGTCACCCCGCCACAGAAGCCTTTGACCTAGACTTTTTTCTTGCGAAACCAAAGTTGCGGAAAAGCAACTTTGAAGCTGCTGGCCTGCAAATTTTCCGGCCTTGGATTTTCGCGATGACGCAAAGGCTCTGCCTTGCGCCGTCAGACGTAGAGCAGCTGCTAAGAAGGCGTGGTAGTCGTAGGGCACTGTCAAGAGCTGTCGCAAGCTGGTCGCACCAAGGAGCCTGCGAACCGAGTCGATTGACGACGAGACTACCGTGCCTGTCGTACCGTTTCGCACGGTAGAGGCAAGGAGCAGTAGCGAAAGCGTCGTCGCGAAGGGGGAGGAGGTAGAAGATTGCATCTCGACGGGAAATTACAAGAAAAGGCTGCATCATATCCTTCATATTGCTGCTGCTGCTCGTACTGCTCCGACTCATCGAAGCGGATTTTGGACATCCTTCTTCAGGAGTACTAGAGCGGCAATGCACTTTTGGCAGGTACATGCTGACGTACTACTAGGCTGTCAAATGTTGTAGCCTGTAGTGAGGTTTGTCTTAGGGGGTACAGAAGTTAGGGTTTGTCATATGTACCCCAACCAACATCAATGCACCATCCATTCCTCATTCTGACATGGTATCAGCTAGGTTAGGATCCTGTGGGATCCCGTTCCTCCGTTCTCCGTTCGTACCTCCCGAGCCTGATCCTACCTCTCGTTCGTACCAGTTTAGTTGTTACCGCGCCTAGTACCGAGCCTAGCATCATCTCCCCCGTCGCGTCGCGCCCGTTCCCCCCGTCGCGTCGCGCCCGTTCCCCCCGTCGCGTCGCGCCTGTTCCCCCCGTCGCGTCGCGCCCGCCTGTTCCCCCCCTGTCCCGTCGCGTCGCCCTGCCCTGTCCCGTCGCCCTGTCCCGTCGCGTCGCCCTGTCCCGTACTGTCGCCCTGTCCCGTCGCGTCGCCCTGTCCCGTCCCGTCGCGTCGCCCTGTCCCGTCGCGTCGCCCTGTCCCGTCCCGTCGCGTCGCCCTGTCCCGTCCCGTCCCGTCCCGTCGCCCTGTCTCGTCGCGTCGCCCTACCCCGTCGCGTCGCCCTGCCCTGTCCCGTCGCCCTGCTCCGTCGCGCCGCCCTGCCCCGTCGCGTCGCCCTGTCCCGTCGCGTCGCCCTCCCCGTCGCGTCGCTCCCGCCCTTTCCCCCGTCGCGTCGCCCTCCCTAGGCCCTAGCCCGTCGCCCTCCCTAGGCCCTGGCCCGTCGCCCTCCCTAGGCTCTAGCCCGTCGCCCTCCCTAGGCCCTGGCCCGTCGCCCTCCCTAGGCTCTGGCACGTCGCCCTACCCTAGGCCCTGGCCCGTTGCCCTACCCTACGTTTTGGCCCGTCGCCCTAGCCCGCTCTTCCGCTGCGACTGAGTCCTCTTCCCCCCCGGTTGTTACTCGCCTGTTCGTTCGCGTTGGTTCTCACTATGGCGACTCCGCGAGTTCTTCGTTTCGACGCTGACGGTAGACCCCTTGACTTTTCCGTCTGGCTTCTTCGCGCTCGCCGTCTGTTAGAGAGTCAGGTCCAGGGGGGCGAGACCCTCTGGTCACACGCTACTGGTGACCTCCCCGAGCCCCCCGAGCCTACCGCTTTAGGCCCTGCTCCTGACGACGCTGCTACGGCTCGCTTTGCCCGTCAGCGCGCTGACCGGACGGCTTGGACGTCGCGTGACGCTGCGGCCTGCATCGCACTCAGCAGCCTCCTCCCTGAGTCCGAGGAGGTCCACTTTACTCAGGTTCGCACCGCTGCTGCGTACCTCACTGCGATTAAGGCCCGCTACTCTACTCCCGCTACTGTCTCTCTCGGCCGTCTTTTCCTCCCGTTCCTGTTTCCTGATCTTGCCTCGTTTGAGCGCTCTGCTGACTTGATCGCTCACCTCCGCTCGCTCGACGCTAGTTACCGCGCTGCTTGCACTGAGGCACAGCTTGCACTGCTTCCTCCCCCCATGGCGATTACTGTCTATTTCATCGCCACTAGCCTCCCTGACCGCCTTGCCTCCGTTCGTGACGCGCTTCTGCTGAAGCACCCTAGTGAGCTGACTATCGAGGTCCTTGAGTCTGCACTCAAGGACGTCGAGAGCAACCTTCGTTCGGTAGCTGCCGCCTCTGGTACTGTGTCCCCCCCACTCTTCCACGGGTGCACCGTCCCGCAGTTACCCACCTTCACTGCCTCTCTTGCCACTGCCGCTACTGACGCGACTGCGGCTGCTGTTACGACTGCGTCGCGGTCCCGCGGCAGGGGGGGCAAGAAAGGTGGTTCCGGTGGAGGTGGAGGTGGAGGTAGCGGAGGTAGTGGGGGTGCTGTTGCGACTGGCGGTGGTGGGAGTGCAGCGTCTGGAGAGACCCCTCGTGCAGCGGCTGGTGACTCCACTGCACCTGCTGGTGGCGGCGACCCTCGAGCTCGTCAGTCGCCTCCTGTACTGCCGGCCCCGCTAGGTGGAGCAGCGGCGTGGTACCAGGCTCAGCGTCAGCAGCACCTTCAGCAGCAGCAGCAGCCCCTTTCCTCCCAGCAGCCTCAGCAGCAGCAGCGTCAGCAGCTGGCTCCGGGGTCGGGGCTGCGTCAGCCCCAGCGCGGTGCTGCTTACCCTCCCTGCCCCTACCAGGTTCAGACAGGTCCTCGTCGGGGCCACCCTTGTGGCCGCTTTCACCCCCCTGGTCAGTGCTTTGCTCAGCTCACTGACACGGTCCGGTTGACCTACGGGGTTGGCGGTCCTGCTCCTGACTGGCTTCCTCTGGTTCAGCGCCACGGCTCCGCTCTGTGGGGCATGTCTGCTGAGCAGTTAGTTGATCTGATTAGTGCTCCTCATGCTATGTATGCTGTTGTTGACTCTAGTGTTTCTGACTCTGTTTACTCTGGTGTTGTTAGCTTAGGTGCTAGTCTTGCTCAGTTGCCTGTTGCTAGTGTAGGTACTTGTGTAGACTCTAGACCAGCGACTACCTCAGAGGACGCTTCGCTGTCGTTCACACTGGACTCTGGAGCCTCCCACTGCTTCTTTCGGGACAGCACGACACTTACACCACTTCCTGCGCCTGTTTCTGTAGCGTTGGCTGATCCCACTACGGGACCAGTCACTGCACGTCACACTACCACTTTACCGTGTCCTGCTGCTCCCTCCGGGTCTCTCACTGGGTTTCACGTCCCCTCGTTCTCCCGGAACTTGGTGGGCGTGCGACCCCTCGTGAGTCAGCACGTGGGTGTGTGGTTTGAGCCTTCTGGAGAGACTGCGGTGTGTGTTGACGGAGACTCTTACCAGCCTCTTGCTACCTTTACTGCTGAGCCGGGCTCGGGTCTCTACACTCTTCACACTGGCCCGCGTGCGCCGCAGCAGCAGCCGCAGCAGCAGCAGCAGCCGCAGCAGCAGCAGCAGCAGCAGCAGCAGCAGCAGCAGCAGCAGCAGCAGCAGCAGCAGCAGCAGCAGCAGCAGCAGCAGCAGCAGCAGCAGCAGCAGCAGCAGCAGCAGCAGCAGCGGCCGCACCAGCAGCCCCCCCTACTGCCACTGCCCCCGGTTCCCCCCCCCGTTCGGGTCCCCGCGTCTCACCAGGTTGCTACGTCCCCCCAGGTGTCTGTGTCGTGTCAGGTTCCTACGTCTGTTCCAGACGCTGCGTCGTGCTCCTGCCGGTCGCTTGCCCACCCCACCGTTCTGTGGCACCACCGGATGGGGCACCCGTCCCTTCCACGTCTGCGCGCTATGTCTAGTCAGCGTCTTGTCCTAGGCCTCCCACGTGTCTTGCCGTCACTGCCGCCTTCGCCTGCGCCGCCGTGTCGTCCCTGCGTCGAGGGTAGGCTGCGCGCCACCCCTCACTCCTCCTCCCTTCGTCCGGCCACTGAGCCTTTTGAGACGCTTCACTTGGACGTCTGGGGCCCAGCCCCTCGTCTAGGCCCTGAGCGTGAGCGTTACTTTCTGGTGGTAGTTGACGACTTCTCCCGCTACACCACAGTGTTCCCTCTGGCGAAGAAGTCTGAGGTGACTTCTACGCTGATCAGGTGGTTGCTCACCACTGAGGACACTCGTGGTCGTCGTGTCAGCTGTCTCCACTCCGACCGTGGGGGTGAGTTTCGCTCCGGCATTCTCGCTGGATTCTGTCGCGAGCAGGGCATTCGTCAGTCCTGGACGCTTCCAGAGTCCCCACAGCAGAATGGGGTTGCTGAGCGCCGCATAGGCCTGGTCATGGAGATCGCCCGCACCTCCCTGACTCACGCCTGTGCCCCCCATTTTCTGTGGCCCTACGCGGTCAGGTACGCCGCGCACCAGCTGAACCTCTGGCCACGTGTCTCTCGACCAGAGGTTTCACCGACCAGTCTTTGGACAGGGTCCCCTGGTGTTGCGTCGCGGTTTCGTGTCTGGGGGTGCTTGGCTCTTGTCCGCGACACCTCCGCGGACAAGCTCTCGCCTCGTGCCGTCCCCTGTGTCTTCCTTGGTTTCCCTGAGGACTCCTCTGACTTCACCTTTTACCACCCTCCCTCTCACCGGTTCTTTGACTCCCGTGACGTCCGTTTCGAGGAGTCCACTCCGTACTACGTCAGGTACCCCAGTCGAGGTCTCCCGGTTCCTCCTCCCCCCCTCTTCCTGACTGCCGTTCCCCCTCCTGCTCCCCCGGTACAGCCTCCCCCCCCTGGTCCAGCCCCGTCAGGTGTGTCCCAGGCTACCCCTCCTCCTTCGGTAGCCCCTCCAGTACAGCCTCCCTCCCCACAGTCCTCCTCGCAGCGTGCCGCTGGTGCTAGCTCTCGAGAGGTTGGTGCGGCGCCTGTTCCTGTACCGGTTTCTGGTTCTGGGGGTGCTGGAGTTGGAGCTGGAGTTGGAGCTGGGGTTGGAGCTGGAGTTTCTGGTTCTGGAGTTGGAGCTGACCCGGTGGGTGCAGAGGACTCTTGTCGTCCGGGAGCTGGTGCTGGCCGCGCGGACACTGGGGGTGCTGCGTCTGGGGGTGAGGGTGCGCCTCCTTCGGGTTCAGGTGAGCCTGGTTCTGGAGCTGGTGTTAGTGCTGCCTCTGGGGGTGGTGCGCCTAGTTCTTCTGAGGTGGACTCTGGAGCTGCCGCTGCTTCGGACACTACTCCACCCCCCCACCCCTACCCGACTAGGCACCAGGCTCGTGTTCGCCGTGCCCGTGGCGAGCGGCTGGCGTTGGAGAGAGAGGAGAGGGAGTTACAGCGGCTGGAGGAGCAGCAGCAGCAGCTGGAGCCGCAGGAGCAGCAGCAGCAGCAGCAGCAGCAGCTGGACCCGCAGGAGCAGCAGTCCCAACAGCAGCCGCGTCCGCAGCAGCAGCAGTCGCAGCCGCAGCAGCAGCAGCCACTTCCTCCTCCTGTCTCGGGTCTTCGGATCCTTGGTCTCCCCTCCCCTTCTCCTCCCTCCTCCGCCTCTCCTCCTGTCTACGGTCCCACGTTTCCTCCTCCTGACTCCTCCCCCGCTGTTTTCCCCAGTTCTCCGCCCTTGTCCTCTCCTCCTCCGTCTCGTTCTTGGGCTACTCGTCGCTCCCCTCGTGCTCGTCCCTCGTCTCCTGTTCCCTTCACTGACCTTCGTACTGCCTTCCTTCTTTCTAGTCCACCTCGTCCGTCTCAGTCTGTGCTTCCGTCTCCTCCTGAGTCGGCCCTCACTGTGTCGCTCCCTACTCCTGTCACTGACTACTACCGCACGTACCGTCCTGTTCTCTCTCGTGTTCTCGCCTCTCTTGTTACTCACCCTCGTGCCTCTGTGTCCTCTGTGTCCGCTCTTACTGCCGCAGTTACTGACTTTGCCTCTACCCGCCGCCTTGACTACGCCACCACGCTTGTGGCTGCTCCTCCTACCAGTCCTCTGGCCGTCGGGGGTGTGTCTGCCCTTGGCTGTGACGCCCTAGAGGACAGGCAGTTTGAGCTAGAGTTCCTGGCGGCCGCTTCCCCTCATCTCTGTGCCATGCTCCTCGCCCCTGAGGGTGACCCCGACGCCCTTGACATTCCGACTCCTCGCACTTACGCTGAGGCAGTGTCAGGGCCTTGGGCCTCTCAGTGGAGAGCTGCCATGGACGCAGAGATGGCCTCCTACAGATCCACAGGCACCTACGTCGATGAGGTTCCCCCCCCTGGGGCGAACGTAGTCGACGGCATGTGGATCTACAGGGTGAAGCGGCCACCGGGATCTCCCCCGGTCTTCAAGGCGCGCTACGTGGCTAGAGGTTTCAGTCAGCGCGAGGGAGTTGACTTCTTTCAGACCTTCGCACCTACCCCGAAGATGACCACTCTTCGGGTGTTACTACACGTAGCAGCACAGAGAGACTACGAGTTACACTCTCTCGACTTCTCCACTGCTTTCCTTCAGGGCAGCCTACACGAGGAGGTCTGGTTGCGTCGTCCCTCGGCCTTCACTGGCACCTTCCCTCCTGGGACCCAGTGGAGGCTGAGGCGACCTGTTTACGGTCTTCGCCAGGCCCCTCGTGAGTGGCACGACACTCTGCGTTCTACCCTCTCTGACCTTGGGTTCCAGCCGTCTTCTGCCGACCCGTCGCTGTTCGTTCGTCGTGGCTCCACACCGTTCTTTGTTCTGGTCTACGTCGACGACCTCGTTTTCGCCACTTCGGACAGGGTTGCTTTGGCAGACGTGAAGTCCGAACTGCAGAAGAGACACACGTGCACTGATCTTGGTGAGCTGCGCCACTACCTTGGCCTGCAGATCACCAGGGACAGAGCCGCTCGCACCATTACACTCTCACAGTCACACATGGTGCAGCAGGTCCTTCAGCGGTTCGGGCTTCAGCACTCCACCGTACAGCGCACACCTCTAGCTGTTGACCACAGACTCACTGGTCCCTTTCCTGACGAGCCGTTTGAGCCTAGTGGTCCCTACGCAGAGCTTGTGGGTTGCCTCATGTACCTGATGACTTGTACTCGCCCGGACCTCGCCTTCCCTCTCAGCATCCTTGCGCGCTTTGTTGCGCCAGGGAGACACCGTCCTGTTCACTGGACGGCAGCTGTAAGGGTGGCGAAGTACCTAGCGACTACATCAGGCGTGGGGCTAGTTCTTGGAGGGCAGCAGTCTGTCGTACTCACTGGTCACTGTGACTCCTCTTACGCTGACGACGCTGAGACTCACAGGTCTACTCAGGGGTACTGTTGCAGTCTGGGTTCTGGAGCTGTTTCCTGGCGTTCCACGCGCTCCTCTTCTGTCTCGACCTCTACAGCTGAGGCTGAGATTTACGCTGGTGCCATGGCGGCACAGGAGTTACGGTGGTTGACCTTCTTGCTCGCCGACCTTGGTGAGCGGCCGAGCTCTGCACCGACCTTGTTTACTGACAACAAGGCGTCGATCCTCCTCTGTCGTGAGCCGCGACTGGAGAGCAGAGTGAAGCACATTCACGTCAGGTACTTTCTTCTGCGAGAGTTGCAGAGGCGTGGACAGGCTCGCTTCGAGTTTGTAGAGTCTGAGGCCAACACTGCAGACATCTTCACCAAGGCGCTTCCGCCTTGTGACCACCAGAGGTGTTGTGTGCAGTTAGGCCTTGTTGACACAGGTTCTAGTCATGCGTAGACTTGAGTTTATTGCCTGCTTCGTCTGTACACTTACTATATATACTTGTGATCTCTTGGACTGGCCTTGTGGCCACTGTTGCTTGTGCTCAGAGTGTGTGGTGACGTTGTGATCCACCCTGAGCTTTGTTTTCTTTTGGACTGGTCTTGTGACCGTACTCTTTTTTGTTTTTACTAGACACCCCTCACTTAGGCTATGGGGGTGTGTCAAATGTTGTAGCCTGTAGTGAGGTTTGTCTTAGGGGGTACAGAAGTTAGGGTTTGTCATATGTACCCCAACCAACATCAATGCACCATCCATTCCTCATTCTGACATAGGCACAGCGCGAAATTTAGTTGCCGGTGCGAAATAAGGGTTGTTTGAATTGGATTGTGCTACTCCCTCATATGTGGACCAGCACTTCTACCATAGTTGGCGGGCATACGGGCTTTTTTGCTTCATAATTTCTGCTATGATAGGGGGGTCTCTTACGTGCAGACATGCCATCCCGACCGACCCGTGCCGCGCCGAGGAATTCTGCACCAGCGAATTTGCGGGATGCGATCTAGGTCGACTGTTTGGATGGAGAGTACCGGTGATGCCCACCCCATGCACGCGAATTTGCTCTGCACCGGATGGAAACGCTGCACCCGAAGTTTTTTCCTCAGCCTGTTGCACCCACGGTACAAGCGCTTCGCGTGGTTATGAACCAATTGTAACGAACAGACCGAAGTCAAACTGAAGAGACTGAAGTCAAAATGTCAATGGATAAGGTTACATATCCTTTATATAAGCACCTGCAAATCCTCTTTAGCTAGCTGCGAATTGACGAAACTTATGCGAAACGCGCGATACAGCCTATACGCCCCCTTCACAAGGCAACCGGGAGGGGCTCAATCAGGCATCATGTGTAACACGAAAATAGCCGATGCGCGCGATTTCGCCAGCCTCATCCCTTCCTTGGGCGCACGACCAGACCTGGAGATCAGGTGCGCTTCGGGCGTGCTAAATGACCCATCTGTCAGACAATAAGTCAAATATACCGTATGCCAGACAATGTTGAAGATTGATGGTTTGATATCAACATATTGGCAACAAATTCTTAAAATCAAAAACTCAGGGTACATTCCGCGCTGGACATGTCCCAATCGTAAGTGTCTCAATCGTTTCTACCGCACTGCATGCATCGTATTACACCAAATTGCACCCTAGTTTCGAAATTTTCTCGTCTCTGGTTTAGTTCGGTTCGGAGCGGTACACTCGATTGGGACACATCGATTGGGACAGTGTCCACAGCGGAATGTACCTTCAGTCCGAAATTGCCTGTATCCTAGCATTTAACAACATTTACTCACTGGCCCATCTTTCCTGAGAAATACGATAACCTACCGGTATAATGATTCACATTTGTCTGATGAATATCAGGTGCTCCCATGGCATGTTGTTCAAAGAATCTTTTCAACCAAGCTCAGCAGCCTCATTAATTTTATTACCTTGGGGTGATACACTCCTGAAGGTATGTCAAGAGCTCCCTTCTTCTCCCTGCGGGATCAGCCCCTCTCAGCTGCACCGTTGTCCCCACCACAGCGGACTCCTCTCCAACTGCCTGAGCTACCCTCCAGTACATGCACGCCAGCTCACTCCGGTACTGATCATACAATATAGTAGCATTAGCCTTCTTCTTCTTGATAGCAGGCCAGTCATACCAATCCATGGCATACTGCCATATCTGCCTCTGAGGGAAGCGGTTCACATCATCACACCCAGGCAGCTCCCCATCAGGCAATGCATGGCACACACCCTCGTGCGAGTAGAAAGCTGCCACCTGAACATACGTCTTGATGACACGTGGCGCGTTGTCGTCGTGCTTCGTGGCGATGCGGAACGGCTGCGTGTAGGGCAGATGCACGCCCACGCGAGGGATCGGCGTGTGACTGGTCCATTCCAAGGCCCAGTGCACCTCATCATGAGCATACGCCCACATGTAGTTCCCAATGGTCGTGTGGGCAATTTGGGTCCGCTCAAACTTCGGCCCATGCTTGGAGAACCACTTGAAAGCGGAGTCAAAGCTGCCGCCCTTATCCTTGTGCAGATTCGCCACATGGCTTCTGAATCTTGGCAGCACGCTGGTCGGCATCAGGAATGGCAGCTGCACCATGAAGTTGGCGAAGTACTTGTCCTCGCCAACGAAAAACTTGGTGGACGGTAACCAGTGGTCCAGCTGTCGCTGCGCGCTGCCAATCACGTACGGCTTGCCATCTATCAGGTTGAACAGTAACCCGGGTGTTACTTTCATGTTGAAGATGACGTCATCGTCAACCAAGGCCACGCAAGGGGCTGTTGTGTATTTGTCAGCCCAGAGGTAGCTCCACTGCTGCAGGATCTTTCCTGGAAGCTTCAGCCTGTTAATCTCGTAGTAGACTTTGATCCACGTGGGAATGAGGTCCTCAGCCAATCGCTCGTCACTGTCGAGGATGAGGATGACGTCACCAATGCCACGTGGCCACATCTGCTCGATGCTGTCAAAGAGCATCTCGAGGAGGAAGAAGCTGCTTGACACGTGGCTGCGGATTACGAGATCCACGCGGCTGGGCCATAACGATCTGCCAATAGGGGGCAGCAGAAAGTCAAAGTGGAAAGAACATTAGTGTGAGATGTTGACTGGAAACGAGGAAAAGAACGAGTTACATTGGCACACTGCCTTTTCTTAACAGAAAAATAGATAGAACAAAGAAAGAGACAGAGAGAGCGAGATAGAACAAAGAAAGAGAAAGAGAGAGAGAGAAGAGGTGCATGCACCTACTGGTACGCGTCGTCGTAGAGGCTGAAGAGCTCCGCCACGCAGTGACCCGTTCGTGAGCGTCGTCTGCAATCCCTCTTGCCGCTCGCGCCACCACCGACGTCCGAGACAGCATCACCACTGTCCCTGGTAGCAGTAGCAATACTAGAATTAGCGGTAGCAGTAAGGACACTGCTAGTACTACTAGTTGTAGTGCTAGAGGGGTCGTGAGGGCGCTGTTCAAGGACGTCTTTCCGAGCATTGCCGCCGTCAGGCTCACTGGAAGGCGTAGCAGTAGCAGTATCAGCGTTTTCTGAACTGGAACTGACGGCGACGTCTGCCGCGCTAGCGCTCTTCCCTGCCGCCGAGTCTTCCACCTTGCTTGCCTGCGAGTCGGGATCGGGATTGCCTGGCTCTTGCCAAGGCGAGGAGGTCTCCGGCATCATTCCCAGAAGTACCATCTTTGCGCTTCGTACCGCGGCTTCGTCGCCAGCGCCCGCTCGATCTTTCTCGTCGTCGCTGCCTTGCGCTGCCATCGGTAGAGCAGCTGCTAAGTCGTCGTGGTAGTCGTAAGGCACCGTCAAGAGCTGTCGCAGGCCCGTCGCACCACGGAGCCCGCGAACCGAGTCGTCCGGCGACAAGAAAATCGTGTTTGTCGTACCGTGTCGCACGGCGGAGGCGAGGAGCAGCAGCGAAAGCGCCGTGGCGAGGGGGAGGAGGCAGAAGATGGCCTCTCGACGGGTAATCACAAAAAACGGCGGCGAGTCCTTCACGCTGCTGCTGCTACTCGGACTGCTCCGACTCATCGCCACAAAATTCGGGCTTCCTTTCTCGGAAGCATTAATAATACTACCAGCACATCTTGGGGTGACTGATCCGCTGCTGCTAGGACTTCTACAGCTCAATGCGTAGCCGCTGGAAGTACCGCCACGTGACTCAGAGCCTGTCGGGCTGCTGGATCGAGAAGTGGAATACGATCGCGTCGATGACGCTGGCGGCCATGGTTCCGCCTCTGCGGAAGGCGATTTCACGGAGATGGACAGAGTGGCCATGATGACGATGGTAGTCGGACTGCTTCTCCGAGTCGGAAATTCTGGTTAGTACGTGACGCACAGCTCTCTCTCTTCCGCGGCAAAGGAAAGCCTGGAAATAAGACAGTACTGGAACAAGCGGGATTGTTCCTGGGCTCCTCGAGGAGACCTACGAACGTGACGCATGAGCGTGCACTTGTCCATTCTGCCTTCTGACATACCTCTCAGATACGCCATGTCGTTTCTTCCATGGGAATAATTTACGGAGAAAAGGGACGGTGGATTCAGGTTATTCGTCATAACACCTGAGAGACTGCCATAGACGGGAAGATGGTCAATCAGGTGATTCTTGGCTGTGAAGGATTGTCGGGACTCGCTTTCCGTGTCGATCATAATCGCCGCTCTGGAGAAGCTCTAGGAGTCAACGGGGTTGCACCGGGGCTATTGGCAGAGCCCAAATGACTATTCGATAGTGACTCCGCCTCCCGTGGTAGGAATGATGCAAAGACGAAAGCAGGGATCTGAAGCAGTCGACAAACACCGGCAAATCAGGACGCGGTGAGTGTCGGTGGTGATTTTGGAAGGCAGTCGAGGTTCTTGTGGCATTTGGTTGGATGAGCGAGGTGACTGAAGGGATGGCTGAGGGGGATGTGTTCTGCCTTGATGAAATTTCTTGCAATGTCTGCGGTAGGGGGCGCAACGATTTGGCGGGAACGTCACCGTAGAAGCTCTCAGGGGTGTTTCGATTTCGACCGTTGGTCGGTTTGGAATGTCACAGTGGAAGGAAAAGGGATCAAGAAAGCAATCGCCATGGAACGAGATTGCATTTTCTCCTTACATTCATGGTGCTATTTATTGCCATTTGCCGTTCACTCATCACACATTTTCCCGAGCCCATATTAGGCGTTTGGTCACTGTTGTTACTCGATGGTGTTTGGTCTCCAAAACTGGAGGAAAGGGGCAACCGTATTCAGAAAATCGGAAGTGGTTCTCCGTCATTCACATTGGCTTCCCGAAAACGTCCGCCGGGTAACAGTTCTCGCACACTCGGCGTTACCTGCATCTGCGCTGGTTGGATTATGGTTTCAAACGCGATACAGCCAGTCCACCATAACAACAGGCAGAGCTGTAACAAACCACAACAGAACAAGAATCATGCAAGGAATAACATGATTGATTGATTCTGTATTGCAATTTAGCGGGTACAGTTCCAAGGGACATGCGTCACTTTGTTGCTAACTGCAAACGACGCTCTCTGCAAACGAGGCTCGCTCGATTCTTTTTCGCGCGCCTCTCGAACCAACTTGCCAAGCTCCTCCACTACTGAATCCCGTCTCCTGCGTGGTCATCTGACACGTGGCATATCGCCATTAACCATGAGGCAGCCACTTCTTGCTCCGCAAGATCCGGAAACCGGAACGGCGAGCTCGTCAGAAGAACCGGCGCTACTTGACGGCGCCGGCGGCGGTCATCCGAGCTCCGATATTGGAAGCAGGCAAGAACAAGGAAGCGCGGCTCGTTCCGCAGCCGCACAAGGAAACGGCGCGGATTCAACCATAGGTCACTCTCACTACTCGCACCGCTCGCCATGGCTGCGCGCCGCGCTTCTCGGGTCGAACGACGGCCTAGTCTCCATTACCTCCTTAATGCTCGGAGTCGGCGCTGTAGACACCTCCCGAACGATGATGGTTATATCGGGGCTGTCCGGGCTTATAGCGGGGGCGTGCAGCATGGCTATTGGCGAGTACATTTCGGTATACGGGCAACGCGACTCGGAGGAGGCGGATCTAAAAAGAGAGCGGGAAGAATTTGAGAAGGGCCCCGAAGCGGTGGCGCGGGAGTTGCGCGAGCTGACGCAGATCTACGTGTCGCGCGGTGTGCCGCACGATCTGGCGCGACAGGTGGCGGAGGCGCTGCATGAGAGCGATCCGATAAGAGCACACGCGAGGGAGGAATTGGGCATCGACTTGGATGACTTGTCGGATCCGGGGCAGGTGAGATTCGGGGCAGGTAAGATTCGGGGCAGGTGAGATTCGGGGCAGGTAAGATTCGGGGCAGGTAAGATTCGGGGCAGGTGAGATCCAGGGCAGGTGAGGTTCGGCCAAATGGTTATGGGTGGAAGTGCTTCGGAATGCATGCGAATAAACGGGAAAGGATGGGGATGGATATCAATGGGATGAAATTATCAACGGGTGGGATATTGGGTGGCAATGAATGAATGGAAATCTATGGTCATTGGATGGGAATGGATGGTCATTGCATGGGAATGGATGGTCATTGCATGGGAATGGATGGTCATTGCATGGGAATGGATGCAATGGGAGTGGATGGGAGATGGCATTGGAATCAGGTGGGATCAGGCCATGAGAGCCCATGTGGAATCAGGCCATGAGAGCCGTGGAATCAGGCCATGAGAGCCCATCATTCGTTTTGTACTCCCATCTGCCTCCTGTCCCCCTTCTCCAAACGCCCTCTCTCCCTCCCTCTTCCGCCCATCCCGTCCTTTTCTGGATCACTCTCTCTCTTCCTTAGTCACAAAATGCTGCTTCTTAAAAACTGATTTGTTACAGACCCATAGAAGCAGTCCTTCCCTGCCTTCCCTCCCCCCCCTGTCCACCTCTGCAGGAAGCACTGGTTTCGGCCGTATCCATCTTTCTGGGAGGAATCTCCCCCCTCCTCTCAGGCTGCATAATCACAGATTCATTTAAGCCCCCATTACTTAAACAGTCTCCCCATCCCCCCACCCCCACCTATGCAGGCGGCAGTGGTTTCGGCTATCTCCTTCTTTCTGGGGGGGATTCTTCCCCTCCTCTCAGGCTGCTTCATTACAGATTACAAGGCGCGCATCACTGTACTCGTCGGCCTATCCACCACGCTCTTTGTCTTTTTGGGCGCGATCGGCGCGTGGCTGGGCGGCGCACCTCAGGCCCGGGCGGCACTGAGGACGACTGTGGGTGGCTGGCTGGCCATGGCAATCACCTACTCAGTTGTGTGGGCTTTCGGTGCTTCAGGTGTTTAGTTAAGTGTGCACTCAGATTTGCAGCCGGCAAGAGTTGATGAGTGCCCTTGTCAACCTGAGTCCAGGTGTGGGCGTTTGGGGCTTCAGGTGTTTTTTTAAGTGTGCACTCAGATCTGCTGGCGGCAGGAGTGAGGGGTGGTCTTTTCAACTTGATCCAGGTGTGAGGCATCAGGTGTGCATATGCAGCTGTGCAGCATGCAGGAGTTGAGATGTGTGGAGTGCGATTTTGGAAGCGGAGATTCCAGGCATGGTCTTGACTCTTGACCTTTGGGTCTTGGAAGCTGAAAGCAGAGAGTCCATGTATGGGCGTGGTGTGTGGGCGTGGTGTATGTGCGTGGTGTATGGGCGTGGTGTGTGGGCGTGGTGTATGGGCGTGGTGTGTGGGCGTGGTGTATGGGCGTGGTGTGTGGGCGTGGTGTATGGGCGTGGTGTGTGGGCGTGGTGTATGGGCGTGGTGTGTGGGCGTGGTGTATGGGCGTGGTGTGTGGGCGTGGTGTATGGGCGTGGTGTGTGGGCGTGGTGTATGGGCGTGGTGTGTGGGCGTGGTGTGTGGGCGTGGTGTATGGGCGTGGTGTGTGGGCGTGGTGTATGGGCGTGGTGTGTGGGCGTGGTGTATGGGCGTGGTGTATGGGCGTGGTGTGTGGGCGTGGTGTGTGGGCGTTGTGTGTGGGCGTGGTGTGCGGGCGTTGGGGAGTGCATGGGTTCACATAGAAGTGCGTTGCAGGCACCAGCCAGCCTCCAGTAGTCCAAGTCTTCAGTTTTCGAGTCAGCTGCTCTTAAGCTCCATATCGAGGCGCCCCTGTAACGACAATGGAGTGTACGAGGGAAGGCTTACAAGTAAGATGTGCTGGTGTGGGGTGGATCCTACCATAGGTTCAGTCAGAGCAGCTGTTCTTGCTTTTCAATGCTAGTAGCCCCTGATTGCTGACACTGCAAATTAGGTATGGGCCAAAGGGGGGAATATAACCCTACCCTGATTTCAAGGCTGTTATCAGCAGCTGTATGTGTACTTGCTGTACAGTACATATCTGTACATACAACTTAGGTAAGCTAGGCATCTTCTCTGCAAGCCCTTCGTATCTGATTCCAGCCAAGCATGCCTCATGAAGGCTGCTGCTCAACAGAGCAGGGTGTCGTGTCAGTCAAGGGAATGAGCACAATACCATACCACTAAAAAAATCCAATTAGGTGACAGGGTAGCCTGGCTGTGCTGTGAGCAGCACCATAATGACATGCTGCCGTGGTGGGTGGGCAGTGGGCACTCGGTGAGTCGACTCAGATCAGAACACGGCGTAGGCATGAGCATGCTTGGCTGTGCTGACAGCAGCACCATAGTGCCATGCTGAATTTGTGGATGGGGCATTGTGGGGCAGCTGGCTGACAGGCGTGAGTGGGTCTGTGGGTTCCAGGCCTGGCGGAATGTTGGGAAGGGCACATGAGGAGAGGGGAGTGAGATGTGGAAATGCGAGGAGAGAAGGGAGGATGTACGAATTGGGATGCAACGGGGCAGTATGCTGCCGGTGCATGCTCTGCATATGTTCAATGCATGCCTCTACATATGTCCAATGCATGCTCTACACATGTCAAATGCATGCTCTTCATATGTCCAATGCATGCTCTACATATGTCCAATGCATGCTCTACATATGTCCAATGCATGCTCTACATATGTCCAATGCGTGCTCTACATATGTCCAATGCATGCTCTACATATGTCCAATGCGTGCTATACATATGTCAAATGCATGCTCTACATATGTCCAATGCATGCTCTACATAGGTCCAATGCGTGCTCTACATATGTCCAATGCATGCTCTACATATGTCCAATGCATGCTCTACATATGTCCAATGCATGCTCTACATATGTCCAATGCGTGCTCTACATATGTCCAATGCATGCTCTACATATGTCCAATGCGTGCTCTACATATGTCCAATGCATGCTCTACATATGTCCAATGCATGCTCTACATAGGTCCAATGCGTGCTCTACATATGTCCAATGCATGCTCTACATATGTCCAATGCATGCTCTACATATGTCCAATGCGTGCTCTACATATGTCCAATGCATGCTCTACATATGTCCAATGCATGCTCTACATATGTCCAATGCGTGCTCTACATATGTCCAATGCATGCTCTACATATGTCCAATGCATGCTCTACATATGTCCAATGCATGCTCTACATATGTCTAATGCGTGCTCTACATATGTCCAATGCATGCTCTTCATATGTCCAATGCATGCTCTACATATGTCAAATGCGTGCTCTACATATGTCCAATGCATGCTCTACATATGTCCAATGCATGCTCTACATACGTCCAATGCATGCTCTACATATGTCCAATGCATGCTCTACATATGTCCAATGCGTGCTCTACATATGTCCAATGCATGCTCTACATATGTCAAATGCATCCTCTACATATGTCCAATGCGTGCTCTACATATGTCCAATGCATGCTCTACATATGTCCAATGCATGCTCTACATATGTCAAATGCATGCTCTACATATGTCCAATGCATGCTCTACATATGTCAAATGCATGCTCTACATATGTCCAATGCATGCTCTACATATGTCCAATGCGTGCTCTACATATGTCCAATGCATGCTCTACATATGTCCAATGCATGCTCTACATATGTCCAATGCGTGCTCTACATATGTCCAATGCATGCTCTACATATGTCCAATGCATGCTCTACATAGGTCCAATGCATGCTCTACATATGTCCAATGCATGCTCTACATATGTCCAATGCATGCTCTACATATGTCCAATGCATGCCTCTACATATGTCCAATGCATGCTCTACACATGTCAAATGCATGCTCTTCATATGTCCAATGCATGCTCTACATATGTCAAATGCGTGCTCTACATATGTCCAATGCATGCTCTACATATGTCCAATGCATGCTCTACATACGTCCAATGCATGCTCTACATATGTCCAATGCATGCTCTACATATGTCCAATGCGTGCTCTACATATGTCCAATGCATGCTCTACATATGTCAAATGCATCCTCTACATATGTCCAATGCGTGCTCTACATATGTCCAATGCATGCTCTACATATGTCCAATGCATGCTCTACATATGTCAAATGCATGCTCTACATATGTCCAATGCATGCTCTACATATGTCAAATGCGTGCTCTACATATGTCCAATGCATGCTCTACATATGTCCAATGCATGCTCTACATATGTCCAATGCATGCTCTACATATGTCCAATGCATGTTCTACATAGGTCCAATGCGTGCTCTACATATGTCCAATGCATGCTCTACATATGTCCAATGCATGCTCTACTTATGTCCAATGCGTGCTCTACATATGTCCAATGCATGCTCTACATATGTCCAATGCATGCTCTACATAGGTCCAATGCATGCTCTACATATGTCCAATACATGCTCTACATATGTCCAATGCATGCTCTACATATGTCCAATGCATGCCTCTACATATGTCCAATGCATGCTCTACACATGTCAAATGCATGCTCTTCATATGTCCAATGCATGCTCTACATATGTCAAATGCGTGCTCTACATATGTCCAATGCATGCTCTACATATGTCCAATGCATGCTCTACATACGTCCAATGCATGCTCTACATATGTCCAATGCATGCTCTACATATGTCCAATGCGTGCTCTACATATGTCCAATGCATGCTCTACATATGTCAAATGCATGCTCTACATATGTCCAATGCGTGCTCTACATATGTCCAATGCATGCTCTACATATGTCCAATGCATGCTCTACATATGTCAAATGCATGCTCTACATATGTCCAATGCATGCTCTACATATGTCAAATGCGTGCTCTACATATGTCCAATGCATGCTCTACATATGTCCAATGCATGCTCTACATATGTCCAATGCATGCTCTACATATGTCCAATGCATGCTCTACATAGGTCCAATGCATGCTCTACATATGTCCAATGCATGCTCTACATATGTCGAATGCATGCTCTACTTATGTCCAATGCGTGCTCTACATATGTCCAATGCATGCTCTACATATGTCCAATGCATGCTCTACATCTGTCCAATGCATGCTCTACATATGTCCAATGCATGCTCTACATATGTCAAATGCGTGCTCTACATATGTCCAATGCATGCTCTACATATGTCCAATGCATGCTCTACATATGTCCGATGCGTGCTCTACATATGTCCAATGCATGCTCTACATATGTCCAATGCGTGCTCTACATATGTCCAATGCATGCTCTACATACGTCCAATGCATGCTCTACATATGTCCAATGCATGCCTCTACATATGTCCAATGCGTGCTCTACATATGTCCAATGCATGCTCTACATATGTCAAATGCATGCTCTACATATGTCCAATGCATGCTCTACATATGTCCAATGCATGCTCTACAGATGTCCAATGTGTGCTCTACATATGTCAAATGCATGCTCTACATATGTCAAATGCATCGTCTACATATGTCCAATGCGTGCTCTACATATGTCCAATGCATGCTCTACATATGTCCAATGCATGCTCTACATATGCCAAATGCATGCTCTACATATGTCCAATGCATGCCTCTACATATGTCAAATGCGTGCTCTACATATGTCCAATGCATGCTCTACATATGTCAAATGCATGCTCTACATCTGTCCAATGCATGCTCTACATATGTCCAATGCATGCTCTACATATGTCAAATGCCTGCTCTACATATGTCCAATGCATGCTCTACAGATGTCCAATGTGTGCTCTACATATGTCAAATGCATGCTCTACATATGTCAAATGCATCGTCTACATATGTCCAATGCGTGCTCTACATATGTCCAATGCATGCTCTACATATGTCCAATGCATGCTCTACATATGCCAAATGCATGCTCTACATATGTCCAATGCATGCCTCTACATATGTCAAATGCGTGCTCTACATATGTCCAATGCATGCTCTACATATGTCAAATGCATGCTCTACATCTGTCCAATGCATGCTCTACATATGTCCAATGCATGCTCTACATATGTCAAATGCCTGCTCTACATATGTCCAATGCATGCTCTACATATGTCCAATGCATGCTCTACATATGTCCAATGCATGCTCTACATATGTCCAATGCATGCTCTACATAGGTCCAATGCATGCTCTACATATGTCTAATGCATGCTCTACATATGTCGAAACATTTTCGACTTCCGATGCGAAGCACTGCAAGAATGAGCTTGTGCAAGCAACATAACAAGCAAAGCATTGTGCAAGCAACATAGCAAGCAAAGCATTGTGCAAGCAACATAGCAAGCAAAGCATTGTGCAAGCAACATAGCAAGCAAAGCATTGAGCAAGCAACATAGCAAGCAAAGCATTGTGCAAGCAACATAGCAAGCAAAGCATTGTGCAAGCAACATAGCAAGCAAAGCATTGTGCAAGCAAAATAGCAAGCAAAGCATCGTGCAAGCATCATAGCAAGCAAAGCATCGTGCAAGCAACATAGCAAGCAAAGCATCGTGCAAGCAACATAGCGCGCAAAGCATCGTGCAAGCAACATAGCAAGCAAAGCATCGTGCAAGCAACATAGCAAGCAAAGCATCGTGCAAGCAACATAGCAAGCAAAGCATTGTGCAAGCAACATAGCAAGCAAAGCATTGTGCAAGCAACATAGCAAGCAAAGCATTGTGCAAGCAACATAGCAAGCGAAGCATTGTCCAAGCAACATTGCAAGCAAAGCATTGTGCAAGCAACATTGCCAGCAAAGCATTGTGCAAGCAACATTGCCAGCAAAGCATTGTGCATGCAAGCAACATAGCAAGCAAAGCATTGTGCAAGCATCATAGCAAGCAAAGCATTGTGCAACAATGCAGGAAGCACTAGACATGGCAAGAAAGAAAGCAGGAAATCTGCTAAACCTGAGGTACGGATAACTTACCCAATCCCGAGGTGAGGAGGTGGAAGAGGTAGCTCGCATCGAGACAAGCGTACGGAGCATCTTGGCCGTTCATCAGTGGAAACTTCCTGGTGGCTTCCTGCAGGGGAATGCCACATGTCTCCTCCGCTATCCGAGCAAAGTGTTGAGCTGTGATGGGTGCTGCAGTGGTTTCTGCCGTGGCTACTGCGGTGGAGTTGCTGTGAGGGATTAGCCCGAACTGCTTATAAAGGGGATGGCGATACAGATGCGAACCGCTAAAGAATATTAGTGGATGATGGAAAAATGTGGAGAAGATGTGGCATCAGGGACATGAGGGGGCGTCGATGGAAAACACAAAATTTTAGAGGCAATCATGGGGCATTGAAGTGCAAAACACACAGAACCGCCTGTTACACCAAACCCACTCATTGCACTGTCAATTGAAGCTGCACTGAAGGCGATCAACTCTGCCCCCGTCCACCCCGCATACCATCCCACACCCGGTGCCCGCACCATTCTTGAAACCTCCCACCAAAACACAAGCACACAGGTCACCTGGTGCGCTGTGTCAAAAAGAGCCGAGGTGACGACCAGCTGCCGCACTGCGCCCTCCCCTCCTCTACCTCCTCTACGTGGTCCCCCCAGCAGCCCATCCAGTGCCGTGGGCAGCAAGCAGGCACGGCCTGGCGGACACACATGTGTAGGAGAGCCGAGCATGGGATCCAATGATGCATCGGCAGAAGCCGCGTGGGTGTCAGCGTGAGGAGAATCCTGGGCGGAGAAGGACGAAGCAGTTGTGCTGGTGGTGGTGCTTGCCGCACCAGCTGCTGCTCCCTGTTGCAGGGCGTGGAGTGTGGCCTTGGAGCAGAGGGCTGCATGCAGGGAGGCAGGGGTAGTGTCGCTGCTTTGCTTGGATGTGCCTGAAGAGGCGTGGGGTGGTTGACATATGAGTCAGGGGGAGGGGCACTGGATGGGGGAGTTAGACAAGGGCTGCATGCAAGGAGGCAGGGGCAAATGGAGTGGAGTGGGAGGCAATGGAAGGGTGGGAAAAGGCTGGTATGGCATGGGCGCTGCCCGCTCTCATGCAATTGCCTGTGATAGCAGGGGTGGTGAGAGGTGGGGGATACACGACATGGGAGTGGGCATGCAAGGAAGCAGTCACCCTCTGAAAGCCAAAAGCGTACAAGAATATGCCAGACCATAAGTTTAAGTGCACAAAACCAAAGGGAACACACAACTCTACCACAAGAGCCCATGTGCACGCATGCATGCATGCACGGCCATACCATGAGAGCCCATGCATGCACGGCCATACCATGCGAGCCCATGCATGCACGGCCATACCATGCGAGCCCATGCATGCACGGCCATACCATGCGAGCCCATGCATGCATGGCCATACCATGCGAGCCCATGCATGCATGGCCATACCATGAGAGCCCATGTGCACGCATGCATGCATGCACAGCCATACCATGAGAGCCCATGCACGGATGGCCCTGGGTGTCATTAGCAGCTCGCAGCACCAATGCTCTCCCTGCCATCAGCCCATAGCCCTGCATGCTGGAGCCGCAGTGGGGAGCGATGCAGAGGGATGGAGATGGAGAAGAAAATGAAGATGGGAGAGAAGAGGGGTGGGCAAGATGATTACTAAGGCGCCTAGAAACCAGAGGTGATGGGTGAATTTATTGGTTCATTTTTGCATTTAGGCAGACCCATCCTGCATCCTGCTCGCACACAACATCACCATTTCCCCCCCCTCCTCCTCATTTTCCCTTCCCTCTCCCTCTCAAACTGCTACCCTGCATGCACGCACAGGCTATCAACAGAACCAGCACCCCCTCTCACCTGTGCAGAGTTGACGTTTGACTTGACTTTTGAGTTGACTCTGAAGTCACCAGACTCCCCCCCACAACTCACCTGCGCACATAGACATGGTGGGTGCTTCCCGAATCGCGCAGCATTCTCACGTTTCCAGCTGGCAACTTATCCGCCACGTCAGCAGGAACAGCATATGCCACGTGGGCGCTGGTATTCCCCAGCTCCACGACTGCCACTGTTGGCTCCAGGTGGATTTTCAGGTGCTTTTCCTGAAGCTTTCCCAGGTTTCCCAGGAGATGGTTCACAGCTGTCTGGATAGCATGGGGGAAGGGGGGAGAAAGAAGCAGTGCATGAAGAAGAAGTGCCACACCAACAATGCACCATGCCATGCCATCGCCATCCCATGACGTCATCATGCCATGCATGCCCATGCTCCCCTACGCCCCCATGGCCACAACCACCCCGGCTCATCTACACGCCCTCTCTGTCTAAATACCGCATCTCCCCCACAGCCACCCCCCCAGCCTCGTCTCTCGCCCCCCCCTCCCCCCTCCCCCCACCCCCCACGCACCCAGGCAAAGAAGCCCGCATCTGTATCACCAAGCGTGCTGACGTCACCATGGCTGAAGGGGAACGGGTACTCCGTCAGCATCTGGCGGATCTGGGGGAAGAGGAGGGGTGGGGAAAGGGGATGGGGGAGGGGGGAAGGGCGAGGAGGAGCAGGGAGGGGGAGCGGGGAGGGAGGAGGGGGATGGGGAGGGCAGGGTGGGGTAGTGGGGAACGAGGGATGAGGATCAAGGGAGGGGATTTTTCTCCTGGGTTCAACCGAAATAAAAAGGAAGAAATAAAGGAGGGAGAGAAGAAGGGAACGCAGACCAGGAATTCGCTGCTCTCTGTTTTACTCTCTTCTTGTCCTCTCCATCAGTCACGCCTCTAAAACGCCTCAACGGCTGCTGTGCTGAATACTGAAAACTACGCAATACGCCATGCCATCCCATCCCCCACTCGCCTCTCTCTCTCTCACCCTCACCTTTCTCCTCCCTCCCCCACTTCTTGGCAGGCCCCCAAAATCTTTCAGCCCAGAGCAAAAAGCCCAAAGCCCAAGGCCCAAAGTTTAAAACCTCACCTCTGCGAGGATCTTGCCAGCCTGGTCTCTTGACAGCTGTTCCTGCCCTCCAGTGGCCTGCCATGCATACAGTCACATGCGTGCGATACAGTCACAGTTGCGTGAGGTCACCATATGCGATACAGTCACAGTTGTGTGAGGTCACCATGTGCGATACAGTCACGCAGACATAAGGTCACCAAACCAGTATAACCACAATCACTTCACTTGTAAAAAAAAAACATATCTTAAGGCCAGGTGTAGTGCATGGCTAACTGGGTGCAGCCAGCAACGTACCCTGCCAAAGTGAATGCACCAATCAGCGTACCCTGACAAGAACGGGTGTGACTGGTCTCATGAACTCAGGCACGGCTTTAAGTGCCTTCTTCATCAACGGTCGCAGGCTGTTTGCTGCTGCTGTGGCGTTATCCCCATACGCACCCAGGCCAGGCTTCACCTGCCATGGCAACAAACAGTGTGAAGGGAGCATGGGGAGTGCATGAGGAGAGCATGGGAGTGGCTTTCAGTGCATTCTTCATCAGCGGCCGCAAGATGTCCGCTGCTATCCTGGCATTAGCCCAACATGTTCCAACCCGGGCTTCACCTGTCATGGCATGGCAACCAACAGTGTGAAAAGGCATGAGGAGAGCATGGGTGGCTTTAAGTGCATTCTTCATCAACGGTTGCAAGATGTCCGCTGCTGCCTTGGGATTATCCTATTATGCTCCCAACCCGGGCTTCAGCTGTCATGGCATCAAATAGCATGGCATGGCGAAGCATACGTTGAGAATGGGTATGACGAGAGCATTCCAGCAAAGAATATGAGCGGCGGAAGGAAGCATTTGCGTTGCCAAGAAAGCCGTCTACAATACAGAACAAAGGAAAATCACTAATAGGATCTCTCGGAAAAATATCAGCAAGCGTGGAAGTGAGACGGAACAATAAAGACAAACAAAGAACTCACTGATCAGAAGAAGCTCACCGAGTGCACCATTTCAGACCCTTTCTGAAACTCGGCCAGCTCCATCCGCGAATCAAATCTGTACACGTGGACGCTGCTGCTCTCCGCGCTCACAGCGTCAACAACAACAGCATACGTGTCCCCCCCGGCCTCCCCACCACCACCACTGGTGCCGCTTTCACCGCCGGCCACCATCTTAATCGCCTTCAAATTCCCCTTCTCGCGCATGTTTCTTATTCTTTCGTCGCGGGACGAAGCCTCGCGATCCGACGCGCTTCCGCCATGAGCGGATGATCTGCCATGCGCGCCGATTAGGGCAGGGGAGCCGTTGTCGTTGTCCGAGGCGGGGGTGAGGACGAAGACGAAGAGGATTAGCGCCACGAGTGCCACCGGAATGGCCGCTAATAGCGCGACGCGACGCGACCGCACCACGCGCTCTCGCGCGGAATCCTGCCGTCGCGCCGCGACCATTGACGGGTTTAATTGGAACAAGTGGGATTTGGATGCTAAAAAACAGGATAGTCACAGGGAGATTCGTTGAACAATATCAGCTTCCCGCGTCATTTTGACAATGCAACGCGACAGCACTAGCATAGCCATAGGAGAATCTGCTAGCGACTCGTGCCTGACGTAATGCCTAGATGGTGTCCGGTAGAAATTCAGAGGTTCGGCCTCAAGATGGTTACAGATTAGTTGTTTCGCATATAAGCAAAAAAGCTTCGCAAACATTCCTACGAAACTGGAACAATTGCAGTTGTAGTAGTACCGATGCAGTAACGTGTTTTGGAAAATCTCTGAAAATTGTCAAACTGCAACCACGACGCGTTCAGACCCGACACGTTGTGGCGATTTCACTTGAACTTTATGAACGAACTAGATACAGAATACCACCTCAATGCTGAGCTGAGTGCTCGACGAAATGTTTCTTCCCTTGATATCCCCGTTAGCACAGAGCACAAGGTGAAAGGAAAATGGTAACGGGTATTACCGCTACATGACAGAGAGCATACACAAAGCACTCACTACGGGTACTAATCACCAGGTGGCTTTAAGCCAAGTTTTTAGCTGAGCAAGATTCAATTATACAAAGCATATAACATGGGGTTAAATGTGACCAGAGCAAGTGATTATGCTCTGCAAAAACCAAGTGCAGTGTGCCAACCAATGACGCAGTGGCAGAAATCACTTTTGGAAGCGACCAATGTCTTTCGCAAAACCCTCTCACAGAATCCTCCCATGGTATCTAGGGCCTACTCAGTAGAGGCGGAATTCACGGGAATGACACCATGGGCGCTCAGCAGCACCTCGATCCCTCAATCCCTCCATCCCTCTTCCGGAGCTTGTGTAGGCAACTCCCTTGTTGCACCGTAGGCTCACAACGCCAAGAAATCAGCTTCCCTGCAGCACACCGCCTGCTCTCCCTTGCATTCCCCACAGTCCACCAGCCCATGCCAATTTTCCTCCTCAAACTCATCTACCCATCCTACCCATCCTCCTCCTCGTGCTCCGACGTAACCACAACCGCTCGCGCACGGCACATTCCTCCTCCAGTGGTGTGCCAGCTCAGTGAAACCGACATGGCCACTCTTGCTTTGAAACAGCTCAGAAACCATTTTATCCCTCCTCGTCCTCCTCCTCATGCTCCGATATAATCACCACCGCGCACGGGGCGTTCTTGCTGCAGTGGTGCGCCAGCTCAGTGTGGCTGACGTGGCCAATCTTGGACAGCACTTTCTGGATCGTGTTCTGCTGAGCTGGCTCATGCCTGGAGATGCCACGTGTCGTGGCCAGCACCAGCACATCCGCTGAGATCATGTCGCAGAAATTGACAACCGCAGATGGCACGGACTTGGAATCCAGTAGAGCCACCTCAAAGCGCACCTGGGACGAGCAGGGGGGAAGGGGGGAGAGCACGAGCACTTCAGCAGAGATCAAAGCACTCTGCGGCGACGCAGAGCATCAGCTGAGATTATGTGGCAGAAACTGACCGACTACCGCAGAGGCCACAGACTTGGAATCCAGTAGAGCCACCGGTCTGATGACACAGGACAGCGCCTGCTCAGCATCCATGCTTTTGCCTCCCACCTCTCCCCCTTGCATTCCCTCCCATAATCCCTCACCAATTCCCTCCCCCGATCCTTTCCATCCCCCCAATTCCCTCCCCTCACCTTCTTCTCAATGGAAACCCCCACGAGCCGGGAGAGCGCCTGCTTGGCGTCCCTGTCCCGCTTGACTCGTTTCAGCAGCACAGGCACCGTGGCCTCATCAATCACCGCCGTGCCCGTCCGGTCGTCCCTCGTGCCTTATCCCCTCACCTTCTTTTCAATAGAGACTCCCACAAGCCGGGAGAGCGCCTGTTTGGCGTCGCCGTCCCACTTGAGGCGTTTCAGCAGCACGGGTGCTGTGGCCTCGTCGATCACCGCTGTGCCCGTCCCGATGGTCGACACGTTGCTCACCGACGGGCCGTGCGCTCCTCCCCCGCCCGCCCCGCCCGTGGCCGTCATGAGCTCCTTGAGCGCCTGCTCCCTGTCGCTGCCATCAGTTTCCTCGCCGTCTTTTATGGAGTCTGGAGGAGGAAAGGGGAGAGAGAGGAAAGGGAAAGGGAGGGTAATGTGAGGGAGGGAGAGGATGGGAAGGGACAATGAATGGGGCGCTGCCGGTCGGTGCCGTCCGTGTCGTATCCGTCCTTTATGGAGTCCGCAAGGAGGGGGAAGAGAGAAGGGGGGAGGTTCGAGGTCAGGAGGTAATCGTAAGGGAGGGATGAGAAGGGGCGATGAATGGGCTACTCCCGGTCGCTGCTGTGCTGTGTGTATCCTCCTTCCCACCCTTCATGGAGTCTGGTGTACATGGGAGGAGAAAGGCAGGTGAACGAGGGGAAGAGGAGGAGAGTGGGGTGTATGGGGAATGGAAGGGGGAGGCGAGGGAAGGTGTGGGATGGGAGCTGGATTAAGTTTGTGACAGCAGGTGGAGGGAGAGGGGAGGCGGCGGGAGGAGAGGGGGGACGGGAAAGGGAGGTGGAGGTGGGGCCTGTGGGCGGAGGGGGGCATTTGCAATAGCCTAGAATGTTGGAGGAGGGCAGCTGGTGGGCTGCGCTGCTGAATGGAGCTCAGATGTGGGGGAGGGTTGCTGGGTTGTTGTGGGGGAGGGTTGCTGGGTTGTTGTGGGGGAGGGTTGCTGGGTTGTTGTGGGGGAGCTTCAACTCTTTCTCGTATATTCTGGGTGGATGCTTTCGGGGAGAGGAATATACGAGCCTAAACATGAGATTAACATCTAGGGTTGGGGATGGGTAGCTGATCGTGAGCAAGGGGTACGCATGGGGAAATGGAGGAGAGAGGAAGGGGTGAGGAAAGAGTGAGGAAGAAGTGAGGGAGGGAAGAGGAGGAATGAGGGAATGGAGAGGAAGAAGGGAGAGATGGAGGGGCGTTGCTTGCCTGCTCGAGAGACGCGGAGCGCGGATCGCCACGACGTGCGGTTGTGATAGAGCGCCACGATCAAACGGTCGTCGTGCTTCCGCATCCGCTCCTCCACGAAATCGCGTAGCGCGTCGATGCACATCTCGCAGCCGTCCATCGCCGCGACAATCGTACGGCCCTGATTGACGCTGAAGATGGTCGGCAGCCGATGCTTGGCCATCATCTTGACCCGAGACTTCTAAAAGACGAATCGCGCTACAAACCGCAACCGCGCGAAACTCCGTTCGGTCGGGGCGCCCCAAAACGACTCTTAACGGACTTTCTCGAATCGAAGCCTCTACCGCGGCAACCGCGCGGGTGCTCCAGAGATATCAGATTTCCGCAAACGCCTATTAAATACTGTAATCGAGCGAAGACCTGCTATTGTCTTCGAGGCTAAAGAAGACGACTCGAGGCTAGCCCACTTGTCGCCAGGCAGCCATGGCTGGTCCTGGGCGGCTCGCAGGCATGGCGATCGACCCGGATGTCGCCCGAATGTCGCCTGCCAAAGACACCGGAAACAGCGCAAGGCTGGACCGCGGCTTCTACCGTCTGCTGTCCAGCAATGCGCAATGCGGAAACGTTGGCGGAAATTGGGAGAGATTGGCGGTAGAAGTGACCTGTCTACTAGCGGCAAGGTGACACGAGAGCGGTGGTACCCATAATAGGCATTGGGAAATTTGGTGCGCACAGCGTTCCAGCAGAGTTCGCTTCGCCTAGCACGCCCTGGGGTGGGGGAGGACGCTCGACCTAGGTCATAATGCCGGCTTACACCTTGCCTTGCTAGCGAGCAACATATTTTTTCTCTCCTTTCCTAATCGGTAGCAGCGGCGTTGAAATAGGGAAAGAAGCACGAATTGCGCAGAGACGGTGTCGCGACTATTCAACTACAGTGACGGGAGTAATGTGCTTGCGTCTGCGTTGCGGAGGAAAATAGGCGCTGAAGTTGGTGTGGCCGAAAGTAAGGACTGCCAGAGATTAGTTGTTGAAATTACTCGATATAAGAGTGACGAGGAACAAATACGGTAGAACGAGTATACGGGTACATGAATCGTGCATATTATACTCTTTAAGAGGATTTCGTTTGTCTCTTTCACGAACCAATATGAAATTTCCGATGGGTAATATTCACAATATACCGTATTATGTGTAGAAGCGTATCGGGGGTCAAGTTTTGGATTCATAAATATACGAGTAGGGCGTACCAAAACCTGCAAACAAAACCAAAAAGAGCACAACAAATCGTAAACATTGCAGATTAGGAATCGCATATAGTTTCATTTATAGAGGAGCTCTCATTAGCAGATATTTTCCTCCCAGAATTCGCAGATTCTTCAAAATATCCCACGCCCCTAGCAGCTTGCTTCACAAGTGTCTTCACTCCGCTTCCTTCCATGCTCCCCTTCACCGCAAAACCAGCCAACAAATTCGACTCCTAGTCATCTGACACGAAAGGAGCATCGCTTCAGCCCGGTCGGTGGTTTCAGCCCAGACAAAGGCGCAGACTTTCAGTTCTAGTTACGATCCATAATCCGCTGTGCCGCCGTCGGCGAGCCTACGGTGTCACGACGTGCCAACGTTCCGATGGCGGCAGTCCCGGCAGGCCCGGTAGGGGCGCTGCCGCGGATGCGCGTTGCATGCCCCGCGTCCGCCCCGTCTCTCGCCGCTCCAACGGTCTCTTCCCTGCAACGCCTCGGGTTCCGCCAAATCGCGAGCGCGCAACCAGCACGCACCGCGCGCGTCACCTGCGGTAGATGTGCCCGCGTGTCGAGGTCTGCCCCTGGCGCACTCACGCCCGTGCGCCCGTCGCCCGCTCCTCTCTCGCTCGCGCCTGTCTCGCTCGTTCCTCTCTCGCTAGCACCTGTCTCGCTCGTTCCTCGCGCGTTCGCTCATCGCGCCCTGCCGCCGCCTCGCAGACTCCTCGCGCGTCGCCTCGCCTCTTCCGATCTGCGCAGGCAGGTCCTTCCGCCGCTTCCCCAGCTGCTCTCGCCAACCACAACCGCAGGGCGCAGGCGAGTGGGTTCCGTTATTCGTAGCAGTGCTAGTAACGGGGATGCATCGGCCAGTTCCATCTGCTCGTCAGAGACGTCCGATAAGCCAACGCGTTTAGCGAGTCCCGACTCTGTATCGGGGACAGAAGACCCATGGATCGAAGGAGAAACGTTACCTTCGAGTAGATCGGCCAACGGGAATGCGCATACGCCTTTAGAGAATGCGGCGGTAGAGAATACGCCTTCAGACGATACGACTTTAGAGTCCACGAGTTCAGAGGTTACGACTTTACAAGCTCGCACGTGGCACAGCGCGAGCCCGAGTAGCGAGGGCGCCCGAAAGCTTGCTTCTGAATTTGCGCAAGCGCGGCCACCGCAGCCTCTCCCAGTGTTGGGGCGCCCAGCGCAGCCAGCGCAACTAGAGCAGGTGCAGGTGCAGCCAGCGCAGGTGCAGCGGCAGGGGCAGGGGCAACCAGCGCAGCGGCAGAGGCAGAGGCAGGGGCATAATGTGGAAACGCGGGGTCGTTACTCCCCGCGGCGGAGAGGTGAATCGGATGCGCGTACGCGTTATTGGGGCTGGCGGGAGGTTGTATCGGAGTGGGCGGCGCTGGAAATGCAGAAGAAGCTTCTTCTGGCCAAGCAGGGACAAGCAAGGCGAGGGGACAGGGTTTTACCAAAAAGGGTTTTAGAAAGTAGGGGTTCAAATGGCAGGGTTTTAGACAGTGAAAACGGTGATATAAGTGAGGAGAGGGAAGATGAAGGTGAGGGGGAGAGGGGGGGGAGGGGAGGGGGGGAGGAGCAGAGTGAGGAGAGGAGTGTGAGGGAGCAAGCGGGGACATGGAAGGGGTGGAAGAGGTGGGAGGACAAGAGGCAGCGGCGCGACAGCGAGGGGCAGAATGAGAAGAATGGTGAATGGCAGACGGAGGAGGAGGAGGAGGAGGAGAGGTGGGAGGAGAAACGAGGAGGGGATGCAGGTGGTGCTGTCAGAGGTGGAGAGCGGGATGGAAACGAGGAGGGATCCTCTGTCCAGGTGGCTGCTCAGGTGGCGGCTCAGGTGATTTCAGCAGAGAGGAGTGGGGAGGGGCGGAGCGTGGAGGAGATTGTGGATGGGTGGAGGGGCAACCGATACCACATGATGGAACTGGTGAGTGCCACGTCGCAGGATTCTTGTCTAGTCCTCAATCTAAAACCCCAGAGCCTCAACACCAAACCCCAATTCTTGAATTTCAAAACCCCAAACCTAGCAATTATATTCCAAAGATCTGCTTGCAACCCATCCCGTCGCTCCTGGCCGGCTCTGATTGGATGTATCTGCACCCTGCTGCCACCGCCACTCCTCATACTACCCCTCCACCTCTTGCCCTCCCTCCCATCTCACATTACCCCTCCACACCTCGTATCACCCCTTTCAACAGATCATGGAGCTCTGGATGCAGCACTCCTTGGCGCTCTGGTTGCAGCAAGCCCCTTCTCTCTCCTGGTGCCACCTCATACCACCCCTCCTAACCTAGTTTGTTTCTGTTACCTGGTTACCTGGCAGATCTTGGAGCTCTGGTTGCAGCAAGCCCCTTCTCTCTCCTTGAGGGTCTTTGATTGGATGCGCCACCAGCCATGGCGCCGCCCACGCCCCACCTTGTACCACCCCTCCACACCTCATACCACCCATTCGACAGATTGTTTGTGGAGCTGTGGATGCAGCACGCCCCTACTCTCTCCCTCAGGGTGTGTGACTGGACTAGATGCGCCAGCAGCCCCGGTGCCGCCCACACCTCATTCCACCTCTCATAAAGTGGTTACTCTCTCTTACTTGCGTGGCAGATATTGGAGCTGTGGATGCAGCATGCCCCAGCTGTTTCCCTCAGGGTCTTTGATTGGATGCGCCAGCAGCCATGGTGCCGCCCGCGCCTCGACTCCTACAGCCTCGCCATTCAGATCGCCGCCCACTCCCGCATGTGGGGACGAAGCGAGGCGCTGTTCGAGGAGATGCAGGCGGACGGCGTGCGGCCGGACTCGTTTGTCTTTTCTGCGATGGTGCATGTGCTGGCGCAGCAGGGGCGGTGGGAGGATGCGATTGGATTGGTGGAGAGGCGGGCAGCAGCAGACGTCCCGGAGCTGATGTCACTAGTGAAGTGAGTGATGTGATTGGTCCAGACATCTTGCTTTGCTTGCTGATTGGCCCACTTTTCACCTACTTGTTCTGGCCTCCAGTCACCTTTGCCACCTCACCACACGGCCTTCATTTTTTTTCTGTCTTTCCACCCCCACCTGTCGTCCTCTCCTCTCTAACTCCCTGTCGTCTCTTGCACTCGCCCTTCCTTTCCTCCCTACCGCGGTTTCCCTCATCCCCTTCCCCACCATTCCCCTTCTTCCTCATCCCCATCTCACCCATTCCCATCATCTCGCAGGGTCTTGCTGCACGACATGGCATGCTCGCCACACGCCGCCTCCCTCACAGCAGCCCTCCTCTCCTCACTCTCCTCCCTCCCCTCCTCCTCCTCTCCCTCCTCCTCCGCCTCCTCCTCGCCAAACCCCTTTTCTCTCGACCACGAGTCATACCGTCTGCTCCTCCGCTCCTTCTACTCCCACAACCACCTCCCCCTCATCCCACCAACCGTAACAAGCATGATCCAAGCAGGCTATCCTCTCAGCCAATGGGATGCCGCCATGTGGCTCGAGGCCCTGGCTGCCCAGGGCGACGTTGCAGGGATCCGGGCAGCTGTTGCGGAAAGTTTGGCGCTCGGGCTGCCCGAGCCGGAAAGTTTTCGGATGGCGTTGGTTCTGGGGTTTGCGAGAGCTGGGGAGATGGACCGAGCTTGGATTGTGTTTGTAGGGAAGGAGGAGAGTGAGAGAGTGAGTGAGGGAGTGAGTGAGGGAGTGCAAGAGGGAGTGGCGAGCCAGGTTTCTCAAAAACAGCCTAAGAGGGGTGTGGAGCCGAGCTTGTATGTGATGGTGGTGGAGGCGATGGTGGGGGCGGGGCGCATGGAACAGGCGGAGGCGGTGTGTGCGGAGTATGGGCGCGCTCACTTGGTCACTGTGCAGCGGTTCAAATATGGGGTGAGTGGACGCTAGTAAGCAAGCACCACGTCAGCAAGCACCACGTCAGCAAGTTGCACCTGAGCTAACTTATGCTCAATGGTCACCTGCCATGCCACATTGCCCTGCATCACCCTCTCCTTGTCCCTCTCTTGCTCCCTCAGCCTTCCCTCCCTCATCCTCCTCCCTCCTCCCTCCTCCCTCCTCCCTCCTCCCTCCTCCCCCCTCCCTCCTCCCTCCTCCCTCCTCCCTCCTCCCTCCTCCCTCCTCCCTCCTCCCTCCTCCCTCCTCCCTCCTCTCTCCTCCCTCCTCCCTCCTCCCTCCTCCCTCCTCCCTCCTCCCTCCTCCCTCCCCCCTCCCCCCTCCTCCCTCCTCCCTCCTCCCTCCTCCCTCCCCCCTCCTCCCTCCTCCCTCCTCCCTCCCTCCCCCTCCCTCCCTCCCTCCCTCCCTCCCTCCCTCCCTCCCTCCCTCCCTCCCTCCCTCCCTCCCTCCCTCCCTCCCTCCCTCCCTCCCTCCTCCTCCCTCCCTCCCTCCCTCCCTCCCTCCCTCCCTCCCTCCCTCCCTCCCTCCCTCCCTCCCTCCCTCCCTCCCTCCCTCCCTCCCTCCCTCCCTCCCTCCCTCCCTCCCTCCCTCCCTCCCTCCCTCCCTCCCTCCCTCCCGCCTCCCGCCTCCTCCGTCCTTGCATCCTCCCGCCTCCTCCGTCCTTGCATCCTCCCGCCTCCTCCGTCCTTGCAGCCTCTTAGCCTCTTCCATTCTTGAATAGCACGTCCTCCTTTCCTTCCCCCCGGTCCTCCCCACCCCCCTCCCCTCCTCCCCATCAGCGCCCCTACACTGTACTCCTGTCCGCCTACCTCCTGGCCGGCAATCTTTTGGCCTTTTCCCGTGTATGGACAGCAATGCGGGCGGGCGGCCGCCCGGCGGACAGTTACGCGCTTCGTCTGCTAGCCAAGGCCTGCGCGTCTATGGGCGGGCTCAGGGGGCTGGCGGTATTGCTGTGGGCGGCAAAAGAGGAGCGGGAGAGGGAGGTGGGAGGGAGTGAGGGAGAGAGTGAGGGAGGGAGTGAGGAAGTGGATAGTCCAACGTGGGAAGCTGTCGGGGCGAGCGGTGGAGCAAGTGTAGCAGTTCCAGAAGGCAGTGTGACAGATGAACCATGTGCAAGCAGCGCTGCAGTGGCAGCAGGTGCATCTGCAGCAGCGCCGTTGGCAGAGTTGGCAGCAGGAGCTATGGTGGTAGAGGTACCCCCGGAAGAGGTGGAGGCAGCAGAGAGGCAGTTCCCCGTGCTGGCGGGCGAGCTGAGGGGTAGCGACAAGGCTCTCAGGGTGGTTGTCAGGTACCTGTTTAAGGATGCTGACGTGGCGGGTGGGGATGACATCGTGCCTGCTGACGTGGCGGCTGGCGATGATGTCGTGCCTGCTGACGTGGCAGCGAGCGGGGAGAAGGTGGACGGTGGCATGGCGGAGGGTGACGGGCACGGGGTTGTTGAGGCGGGAAGCGGATGGTTGGAGGAGTGTGTGGGTGTGCCGGCAGCAGCTGAGGAGGCTGTGAGCGTGCCGGCAGCAGGACAGCAGCATGTGTGTGGTGGAAGGGGCAAGGAGGCGTCAGAGGGAGATCATGCGGGCGAGTCTGATTGGGACGTGCTAGGGCAGTCAGTGTGCGCGAGTGATGGGATGGTGGAGGGGGTGGAGGGAGCAGAGGCTGTTTTTAAGTCGACTCAAAAACAAACACGTGGTGTGCTGGGGCAGTCGGTGTGCGCGAGTGATGGGATGGTGGAGGGGGTGGAGGGAGCAGAGGAAGCACAGAGAGAGGAGGAGGAGAGGGGACAAGGGGGGGATGCGGGAGAAGAGAGGGAGGGAGAGGAAGGAGGAGCAGCAGAGGCGAAGGGGGAGGTAGAGGGAGGGCTGCGAGGCAGAGGAGGGCAGGAGAGGGAGGAACGGATAGCTTTGGGGGCTCAGGTGGTGGAAGTAAGGGGCGGGGCAGGGGAGGTCGTGGAGGGAGTGGGAATGGCAGTGGAGGGAGTGGGAATGCCAGTGGAGGGAGTGGGAATGGCAGTGGAGGGAGTGGGAATGGCAGTGGAGGGAGTGGGAATGCCAGTGGAGGGAGTGGGAATGCCAGTGGAGGGAGTGGGAATGCCAGTGGAGGGAGTGGGAATGCCAGTGGAGGGAGTGGGAATGGCAGTGGAGGGAGTGGGAATGCCAGTGGAGGGAGTGGGAATGGCAGTGGAGGGAGTGGGAATGCCAGTGGCGGGAGTGGGAATGCCAGTGGAGGGAGTGGGAATGCCAGTGGAGGGAGTGGGAATGCCAGTGGAGGGAGTGGGAATGCCAGTGGAGGGAGTGGGAATGCCAGTGGCGACAACAGCAGGGGACGGGACAGGGGCGGCAGCAGTGGTAGTGGCAGAAGGAGCAGGGGAAGGAGCGGCAGACGATGTAGCAGTGGCGTCAGCAGTGGTGGCAGCAGCAGAAGTTGATAGGGAGAGAAGAGAGATGGAACGGACGGGAGGGGAAGGCGAGGGGTCAGGAGTGAGGAACGGAGGGGAGAACGGAGGACTTTCAAGTGGTGAAAATGGTAGCAACAGTGGCAGCAGCAGCAGCAGTTTGAGCCTGGCAGAGCGAAGGCTGGCGATGGGATGGGTTGGGGGAAGGCGTGGGGAGGGCAGAGGGGGTGGAGGAGGGAGGGGGAAGAGTGTGGATGAATCCATGCTGAGAAGGCCGGTTGTGGGCGGCAAAGTGGAGGCTGGTACAGTGCAGCACGGTGGCAGTTGGAGGGATGAGAACCAACTAGGTGCAGTGCACATGGCTGTAGCAGAGATGGCTGTAGCAGAGGCGGCTGTAGCAGAGATGGCTGTAGCAGAGATGGCTGTAGCAGAGATGGCTGTAGCAGAGATGGCTGTAGCAGAGGCGGCTGTAGCAGAGGCGGCTGTAGCAGAGACGGCTGTAGCAGAGACGGCTGTAGCAGAGACGGCTGTAGCAGAGACGGCTGTCGCAGAGATGGCTGTAGCAGAGCGGGCTGTAGAGGCAGCTGTAGCAGAGGCATCACCAGAGGGGGATTTTCCTGAGGAGATGGTGGCACAGGCGGCTGGAGGAGAGGCAGAGGCGGTGGATGACGCTATAACGAAGGTGATTGCAGCAGAGGCTGGGGGGAATGAGGCTGCTGCAGCTGCAGGGAGTGATGCTGCACCTGAGGAGATGGTAGCAAAGGCAGTTGGGGGAGTGGCAGAGGTGGTGGATGGCTCTACATGGAAGGTGACTGCAGAAGAGCCTGTGGGAAATGAGGTTGCAGGCGCTGATTCTCATGCAGTTGAAGGAGAGGCAGATAGGGTAGGCAACAGGGTAGGCGACAGATTAGGCCAGAGGTTCGGCAACAGGTTTGGTCGCGACAGGTTCGGCGACAGGGTTGGTAATGACAGGGTGGGTGACTATGTGCAGAGCACTTACTGGGGCGTGGTGTGGAACCCTGAGAGTGGCGCAGAGGGAGGGGATGCGAGGGCGGGAGGCACAGGCAGGTGGGGCGGAAGGGTGGGAGGGCGAGTGCGGGCGCGGGTGGGGGAGAGAGTGCGGAGTGCGTTGGAGGAGCTAGAGAGGGCGGAGGAGGGGGAGCTGGCGGAGAGATGGGCGCAGCTGGCGCAGGGGGAGGGGGAGAGGGCAGGGGAGAGGGGAGGGGAGAGGGGAGGAGCGAGGGGGAGGAGGCAGGGGGCGGCTAAGAGAGTGGAGCAGACGTGGGAGCTGATGGGGGAGAGGCGGGCGAGGCTGCGAGGGGATCGAGAGCGGTTGAGCCCGGTGATGGGGGGTGGTCGGGGAGTGAGGGGGGAGGGGAATGAAGGGGCGGATGAGGCGGGGATGGGGGAGTGGGAGCAGGAGGTGGAACGGGATGGGGAGGGGAGGGGGAGTGAGGTGGTGTGGAAGAGGGTGGATCCTGAAGAGGCGTGGCTGTTGGTTCAACAGCAGATGGTGAGTGCAGTGCGCTTTGAGGCGCCTCAAAGGTTTTTTAAGCGAGTTGTGAGGCGCCTCAAAGGTTTTTTAAGCGAGTTGTGAGGCGCCGCAAAAGATGTGGTGGTGGCGGTGTGGAAGAGGGTGGATCCCCATGAGGCGTGGCTGCTCGTTCAACAGCACATGGTGAGTGCAGCAAGCTTTGGGGTGCCTCAGTGCAGAGTAGTGGTGAGTGCAGTGCTGCTCTCTTGCTGTATTTATCTGAGCTTTCAAGAACCAATCATAACTGTCACTTGCCTCTTCGTCCCCCTGCACTTCTCTCCCCCCCCCCCCCCATCAGGCGGATCCCGTCGCCCCTCCGCCCCCTCCTGCTGCATGGGCGCGTGTTTTCTCTGCCCTGCGCGACCCCGGGCAGTACGGGCAGCTGAAAGAAGTTTACCGGATGATGCTAAGTGCTGTGGGGCGAGAGGGGACTCAAATACACGGGCAGCAAGGGCAGGAGGGACAGGAGGAGGGTCAAATGCGCAGGCAGCAAGGGCAAGAAGGGCACGAGGGACAGGAGGAGAGTCAAATGCCCGTGCAAGAAAGGCAGGAGGAGCTGAGATGGGTGCAGCAGGGGCGGGAGGAGATGCAAGTGGGGCGGAGCATGAGCCGCTATGCTGGGACTGCTGATGGGGGGGTCGACAGTAAAAGAAGTGAAACTCAAGAGGGTGACAATAGGGGGAGGGGCAGCGGTAGAGTTGACAGCAGTGGCAGTGATAGTAACGAGGGTGATAGTAATGAGAGTGCTACAGTGTTCACAGGAGGGTATGTGCTTCCATTCAATCTGGTGCTGATGTCAGCATGCAGGCAGGAAGCAGCTGATGACGTGGCAGCTGTTTTTGGTGACATGCTCAGTCATAACGTCATCCCGTCATGGGTATGTGATGGGCAGCATGAAATGTGATGGGCAGCATGGGTATGTGATGGGCAACTCTACTGTCCTAATTTCAAACCCAAAGCCCCTGAGCCTGCCACCCTAAACCCTAAACTGCAAACCCTCTTGGTGCACCCTCTCCCCCCACTCCTCCTCAACCTTCCCCCCCCACACACACACTTCCTCTCTTCTCTCTTCCCCCTCCCGAGCTCCCTTGACAGAGATCTCTATTCTTCGTGCTGAAGGGTGCATGCGGCTCCAACCAGCCGTTCCCCTCCCCCACATCGCTCATTGCCTTTGTTGCCTCTAAAACCTTTCCCCCTTTCCCCTCCTCTCCCTCCCCCCACTCTCTCCCTCTACAGAGGTCGCTGCTCTTCGTGCTGAAGGGTGCATGTGGCCCCAACCAGCCGTTCCCCTCCCCCGCAACCCTTGTTGCCTTTGTTGCCTCTAAGGCCACTCAGCTGCCACCAGAGCCACACGTGTCTGTAGAACCGTGTACGTCGGACAGGGTTACGTCTGCGGCGGCCCCGTGTGCCAGCTCAGCGTCGTCCGCGCATGCCAGCTTAGCGTTATCCACGCGTGCTCGAGAGGTTCTGGAGAACATGGCAGTGCTGCTGATCGGAGAGCCGTGGGCTGTTGATCGTCTGAGATGGAGCGTGGAGATCGCAGAGTGCATGCAGAGGGCTCAGGGAAGCAGCCCCCTCCTTCTGCCCTCTCCTCTCGCGAGACGGTTCTTCTTTGCCTCTAGGAGCCTACGATTGGTTGGGAAGGAGAGAGATGAGGAGGGGAGAGGAGAAGCAGAGAAGCGGGATGAAGGGAGGGGCAGAGAGGAGGTAGAAGAAATGGAGTATGTAGGGAAGGGGAGGGAGCAGGGGGGAGGAGAGAAGGGGTCGGAAGGGAGGGGAGGAGTAGAAGGGGAGCAGGATGAGGAGGCAGAGGAGGGATTGGATGGAAGGGGTGTTGGCCTTGGTGCTTCTGAGAGAAGGGAGCTTCTGAAGCAGCAGTTGATTGGAGTGGTTCGGCCGGACGAGAGACGCGAGGAGGAGAAGTGGGAGGGAGGCTCGGTGGCTGTGCTCGGCTCGGCGGAGGCTCGGGAGGAGCTGGCCGATCGGATGGAAGCACTTTTAGAGGCCAGTGCTGCTGCCCGGCAGGCTGCTTGGGAGGAAAAAACTGCCCGGCGGGCAGCTGAACAGGCAGAGTGGGCAGCAAAACAGTTGCGGGTGGAAGCAGAGTGGAGGGAGGAGAGGGAGAGGGAGAGGGGAGTGGCGGTGGAACGGTGGGTGAGGGGGAAGGGGAGGGTGAAGAGTGTTAATGAGGCGTGGACTCAAGTGGTGGAGCGAGAGAGGGGTGTGGAAGAGGCTGTTGAAGGGGAACGAGAAAGGGGGATTGTGGCGGGTGAAGGGGGGGGGGAAGGAGGGTTCGGAGGGGATGAAGAGGGAAGAGTGAGGGGGATGGTGAGGGGCGGTTTGGGGGAGGGGCCGGAAGAAGGCAGATGGGGGGCGGAAACAAGAGGGGATAGGGTGGAAGAGGAGGGTGCAGCGGGGAAGGGGGTTGCTGTGGGTGCAACAGGCGTGGGGGCAACAGACTTGGGAGAGCAGGAACAGGGGGTGGGGGAGCAGAGGGAGCAGAGGAGGCAGAGGGAGGAGAGGGAGGAGAGGGAGGCGTTTGCAGTGGGGGTGGCGGAGCAGGTCAGGATGCTTGAGGTGCGGCTGGTGAGTGACTCGTTTGTTGTTGTGGGCCTCCTTGGCCGCACTCTTCACCTGTTGTGCTATGGTGTGATGTGGTGCAGTGTGCTGTGGTGCGGTGTGGTGTGGTGCGGTGTGGTGTGGTGCGGTTTGGTGTGGTGCATTGTTGTATGGTTTGGTGTGGTGTGATGTGTTGTCGTGCCGCGTCGTGTCATGTTTTGTCATGTGGGTTCTTGTTATATCATGTTATCCCAGAGTTCAGCTGGGTGAAGATACGTGCACGCCTCAACGAGCGGTTGGACCAGGTAGGAGATGTTTAGAAATTGGCTGGGTGCTGAAACAAGGTGGCACAAGCCAAGCGAGGTGTGTTCGAAGGGGGGGGAGAGAGTAGGCATGGGGATGGGAGTAGCAAGGAAAGGAGAGTGGTATGGGGAAGGGAGAGGAAGGGAGTAGCATAGGGAAGAGGGTGGCAGGGAAAGGGAACACATCCGGCACTTATTGTTGGCCTTGTTCACGTGGTCTGTCAGGTGCAGGGAAAACATAGTGGAAGGAGATAAGAAAGAGCTCGATCCCCATGCCACTACCCTCCTCACGCCGCCCCACTCATCCCCCGCTACCCCCTTCTAATGCCACTCCCATCCCCCAGCCATTTCCCTCCGTAAGGAGGAATGGGCCACATCGTAGGGAGAGAAGTGGTTGGGGAATGGGAGTGGCATGTGGAAGCGGGTAGTGGGGGATAAGTTGGGCGGCGTGGGAGCGGGGTAGCATGGGAACGAGTTCTTTCTTATCTCCTTCCATTATGTTCTCTCTGCACCTGACAGACTATATGAACAAATTCGACGATAAGAGCAACGAGTTGGATGAGCTCCCTTTCCCTGCCGCCCTCCTCCCTATGCTACTCCCGACCCTTGTCTTCCCCATGCCACTCTCCTTTTCCTACCACTCCCATTCTCATGTCACCCCCCCCCCCCCCCCAAACACACCTCGCTTGGCTTGTGCCACCTTGTTGCAGCACTCAGCCAATTCCTGAACATCCTCCACCTGGTCCAACTGCTCGTTGAGGCGTGCACGTATCTGCACCCGGTTGAAATCTGGGAACACGGCACACACAGACATTGTCTTATCATGTCATTTCAATGTTCGACTGCTCTCTGAATTGTTTTTTAGGATTCTCAAAAGCGACTCAGATTTAACCTCTCATCCTGTCTCACATATCCTCTCCTTGCTTACCCCTTTCCTGCCTGCTCTCTCTCCCTACCCTCTCTCCCCACCCTCTCTCCCTGCCCGTCCTCACCTCCAGGCACAAGGCATCCTTCCAGACCCCACCTCCTGTGCAGCCCTGCTCTCAGCCCTTCGCCTCGCATCAACGCACCACCCTCAGCACCAAGCCCCTTCCGTTACCTCCCCCCGTCCTCCTCCTCCTCCTCCTCCTCCCTCCTCCACTCCCACACCACACTCTCCTCCAACCCCTGCTCCCACCACTTCCTTCCCCATCCCTCAGAACGCATCACCGCAAGAATCCACAACGCCCCGTCTACCCACGGCACGGGCCATGCTGCGGCGCCTGGCCACTGCAGGCGCTGCTCTGTCTGCTGCTGCTTTCAATGAGGCCATTCGTGAGGCCATTGGGGACAGCGAGGGGAAAGACGAGGGGAATGAGTCTGAAACGACATTAGCAGCAGCAGCGTCATCTGCATCAGTATCAGGTGGAGCAGCAAGAGCAGCAGCGATGGTGGAGGAGGTGGATGGGCTGTTGCTTGAGATGCATCGACGGGGCGAGCTGCCCAACCAGGTTAGTGTGTGTTCCTTTGTGGGTGTGTTTTTGTGAGGTGAGTGACAAACAACAACAGCAGGAGCAGCAGCAGCAGCAGCAGCAGCAGGAGCAGCGTCGATGATGGGAGAAAGACTGGGTTGCTGCTGGAGATGCATCGACGGGGCGAGCTGCCCAACCAGGTGAGTGGCAAACGAGGTGCGTGCCCAACCAGGTGAGTGGCAAACGAGGTGCGGGTACGTGCATTGCTCAATCACTCTGCTGTTCATCTGCTGACGCCACTGTTCTATTCATCCTTCCACAATCCACCCTCCCCCTCTCTTTCCCTGCCCCCTCTACCCATTTCCCTCCCTTCCCTCCGTTCCCTCCCATCCCTCCTCCCTCTCGCCACCTCTCCCAAGAAACAGTTAACTTTCTCTTTTTCTTTGTTCGAGGCGCCCTGAAAACGACGAATCTCCAGAAACCTTAAGAATCGTTCCATGCCTTCCCTTCCTCTCTCTCCACACGTCTCTCAGGACACGGTACACATTCTCACTCACTCGCTCGTGGGCCCGCCTCCCCTCCCCTTCTCCTCCCCCGCACGTCTCCTCTCCCACCTTATCCGCCTCGCTGCCCTCCACCTCTCCTCCCTCGCCTCCCCTGTTTCTGCTGCTACCACTGCAGCACCACCAACAGCAACAGAACCAGCAGCAACAGCGGCAAAAGAAAGAGAATCAGAACCGTCAGCAGCAGCAGCAGCACAAGTAGCAGGGGCAGCAGCAGCACAAGTAGCAGGGGCAGCAGCAGCACAAGTAGCAGGGGCAGCAGCAGCAGATGGTCTTACAGGTGACGCTTTGACCTCCCCTCTCTCCTCCCCCCTCTTCCACCGTCACCGAACCAACCTGATCTCCTGGGCCGTCCAAGCCTGCTGCTCAGGCTCAGGCTCAGGCTCCGCTTCGGCCCCACTAGGTCCGGTGGACATGCCACGTGTCGCATTCTCATTGGACCTCCTGCGGCTGCTGAGGCGAGAGGGGCAGGAGCCTTGTGCTGCTGCATGCTGCGCTCCAGTCGCTGCTCTGGTGGGGGAGGGGAGGGTGAGGGGAGAGGCGGTGCAAAGGGAGGAGGGGAGGGCGAGGAGTGGTGCGGTAATAGGGGGAAATGTAGAGATGAGTGATATTGGAATGAATTTTGAGAATTCTCAAAAGAGTGGGGCAGTAATAGGGGGAAATGTAGAGATGAGTGGTGGAAAGGAGGGGGGAGAGGAGAGGGAGGAGGAGGAGGAGGATTGGGCGTTGAGGGTGGCAGCAGGGGTGGTGGAGGAGGCAGTGCAGGAGGGGTGGTTGCATGCTGGTGACATGGCTCTGGTGCTGCTGCTGGCACATGCAAGACGAGGGCTCCGAGACGAGGTGAGGGGGGAGAAGGGAGGGTGAAGGGGGAAGAGGGGAGAATGAAGGGGGAAGAGGGAGAGGTAAGGGGAGAGGGAAGAGGTAAGAAGATGTGAAATCTGGTTTTTCCTTGTTTTCCAAGAGGTAACAGAGAGGGGAAATGGGACAGCGAGGGGAGAGAGTCTTCATTGGAGGCGCCTCAAAAGCGAGGGGAGAGAGAGTCTTCAATGATCTTTCCTGTATTTTCAAAAGGTTTTAAGGTTCAAACTATATTTTGCTCTTCCTCTGCCTTCCTACCTCCCCTACCGCCCTCCTCTCCTGCCTCCCCCCCCGCTGCCCCCCATCCCTTGCTTCTGGCAGGCCGCCTCTCTCCTCCACTGCCTCTCCCATGCCAGCATCCCTGTACCGGGCGGCGCACTGCTGGACGTGCTGCGGGCGGCAGCAGCGCACGGGCAGGCGGACTTCTTTGTCTTCTTGCTGCGGGAGTGGGTAGCGGCGGACGTGACTGTATTGGGGGGCCCGCGGGCTCTAGAGGAGGTGCTGCAGCTGCTGCTGCGCTGCAGACGACCCCACCAGGTGAGGGACAGGCAGCTTCTGTTCCATCTGCTGCTAATGCTGCTGCACCTGTACTGCTGCATTTGCGCTTCTGCACCTGCACTGCTGCATCTGCTTCTATTCTGCTAGTGTTTCAGCTGCTGCTGTGCTGCAGACGCCAGCTGCTGCTCCTACCACTTCTGCTGATGCTACTAATGCTACTCATGCTTCTAATGCCGCTGCTGCTGCCGCCACCGCCACCGCCCCCTCTCCCTTCCTGCCCTGCCATTCGCCATGCCATACCCACTCCTCCTCATCAACCTGTGTCCGCCTCTCTCAACCCCTGCCAGGCTGTGCCGTGGTTCCAGCGGTGCCTGGGAGCGCACCCGCACGCCCCCCTCTCGCCTGCACTGGTGCAAGCGCCCCCCCCTCGCCTGCACTGGTGCAAGCGCTGCTGCACTGCACTCTCTGCCCCACACCGTAACCACCCCCCCCCCCCCCCCCCCCCCCCCGTTTCTGCCACCTTCCCCCTTCCACTCCCGTCTCCACCTCCCACCCCCTGCCAGGCTGTGTCTTGGTTCCGGCGGTGCCTGGGAGCGCACCCACACGGAACCCCCTCGCCAGCAGTGGTGCAGGTGCTGCTACATTCGGTACCCCTTTCCGTAACCCCCCCCATTCCTGCCATCTTTCTCCATCCCCCCTCTTGTTCCACTCCCGTCTCCACCTCCCACCCCCTGCCAGGCTGTGTCTTGGTTCCGGCGGTGCCTGGGAGCGTACCCACACGCTCCCCCCTCGCCAGCAGTGGTGCGGGCGCTGCTGCATGTGCTGCAGAGGAAGAGCATGTGGCACGAGATGCTGGACGTGTTCGGGTCGCTACAGCACTACCCGGGATATCATGACAAGGTGAGGCGTTGATAAGGGATTGTGAGGCGTGCGGGAATGGTTGCTGCAGAGGAGAAGCATGTGGCACGAGATGCTGGACGTGCTCGGGTCGCTACAGCACTACCCTGGCTATCATGACAAGGTAAGGACCATGCGGGGTGTGAGGGGATGTTCTTTGCATGGCATGGCACGTTTTACTTGTGCTTGGGCGATGTGAGGCGTGCCGGGGGAGGTGCCTGCAGACGGGAAGCATGTGGCACGAGATGCTGGACGTGTTCGGGTCGCTACAGCACTGCCCGGGATATCATGACAAGGTGAGGCGTTGATAAGGGATTGTGAGGCGTGCGGGAATGGTTGCTGCAGAGGAGAAGCATGTGGCACGAGATGCTGGACGTGCTCGGGTCGCTACAGCACTACCCTGGCTATCATGACAAGGTAAGGACCATGCGGGGTGTGAGGGGATGTTCTTTGCATGGCATGGCACGTTTTACTTGTGCTTGGGCGATGTGAGGCGTGCCGGGGGAGGTGCCTGCAGACGGGAAGCATGTGGCACGAGATGCTGGACGTGTTCGGGTCGCTACAGCACTGCCCGGGCTATCATGACAAGGTGAATGGATGGGGGATGCTTAGGGTATGTGAGAGGAGTATTTATTAGATGAAACATGCTGAAGCATGCTGAAGGGGCGTGGGGCATGTGGCACGAGATGCTGGACGCATTCAGGCGTATGAGGGACGACCCAGGTTTCCATAATAAGGTGAGGCGTGTAGTGGGGCAGTGAGGGGTGCACAGTCGTGCGCACTCTCTTGCACTGCCGCCAGCCCAGGCCGACCATCACCCTCCTTGGAGAATTCTCACAAGTGATTCGCAAAAGTGACTCTCAAAAGAGAATCCTCAAAAGTCTCTCCTGCACTGCTGCCTGCCCAAGCTGTCACTCACCCTCCTCCTCGACATGTGTCCATTCGCCTCTGCCCTCTTCCATGCATGGCAGGTCAACTACACCACACTCATCCGCACTCTCCGTAGAGACGTTTCAAAAGTCTTGTGTGTGTGTCCATATGGGTGTGTGTGCATGCATGCGCCAGTGTGTCCATGTGTGTGCATGCATGCGCCAGTGTGTCCATGTGTGTGCATGCATGCGCCAGTGTGTCCATGTGTGTGCATGCATGCGCCAGTGTGTCCATGTGTGTGCATGCATGCGCCAGTGTGTCCATGTGTGTGCATGCATGCGCCAGTGTGTCCATGTGTGTGCATGCATGCGCCAGTGTGTCCATGTGTGTGCATGCATGCGCCAGTGTGTCCATGTGTGTGCATGCATGCGCTGTTCTGTCCATGTGTGTGCACGGCCTGTGCAGGTCAACTACATGACGGTCATCCGCACTTTCCTGCACTGCCATCAACCCAACCTGTCAATAGTCCTTCTCCCCAACTTGTGTCCCTTTGCCTCTGCCCTCTTCCATGCCCGGCAGGTCAACTACACCACACTCATCCGCACTCTCCTCCACTGCCGCCAGCCCAAGCTCCCACTCACCCTCTTTCCCAACATGTGTCCCATTTCCTCTGCCCTCCCCTATGCATCACAGGTCAACTACACCACGGTCATCCGCACGCTCCTGCACTGCCGCCAGCCCAAGCTCGCACTCACCCTCTTCCGAGACATGCTCACTTCAGGGTTGCTCCAATGCGACACCCACGGGCGCGTGCTGTCAGCCCGTGATAACGCCACCACCCATGAGAGGCTGCTGCAGGCCGTGCGGCACGCGGCTCACCTGGTTGGGGATCGAGAGGTGCTCAGCATGGTGGGTGGTGGTGCTGTGGGTGCTCGCAGCACGAGCAGGAGCGGGAGGTTCAGACCTGCTCCTTCTGCAGTCAAGGATGTGGACTCTTCTTTGACCCCGACTTAACTCGATAGTCGACTCACAAGTCCATGTGGACTCTTCTTTGACCCCGAGCGCTGGTGATCCAAGCGTGTGAATGGTGTAGGTAGGTTGTGCTGTGTGGGCAAGTGATGCTGTGTCGACCGCGCCACTGACATGAAGCTGCTGCAGGCCGTGCGGCATGTGGCTCTCCTGGTGGGCGACAGAGAGGTGCTCGGAATGGTGGGTGGTGGTGCTGTGGCTGCTCGCAGCACGAGCAGGAGCGGGAGGTTCAGACCTGCTCCTTCTGCAGTGCTCGGCATGGTGGGTGCTGCTGTGGCTGCTCGCAGCAAGACAAGGAGGGAGAGGTTCAGACAAACTCATCCTCCTCCTGATATTGGGGATGAAAAAGACACTCCTTCGTGGCTGAGCCCTCCTGATAGCTGAAGCTTGTGATTGGTTTAGTGCACAGCGTGTGACGGCCACGTGCAATGTAGTGCAGGAGACCAACATCAGTGCTGGTAACCAACGGCTCCGATGCTAGAGGTGCCGCATGCCATGCCACTCTCCCGGTGGGCACCGATGTGAGGTCGCCGCAATGCAGGCTGTGCGGCATGCAGCTCTCCTGGTGGGCGGCAGAGAGGTGCTCGGCATGGTGGGTGGTGCCACGGATGCTGGTAGCAAGAGTAGGAGCGAGAGGATTAGACCGGCTCTTCCTGGGGTTGGGGATGAGAAAGACTATTCTCTGATGCGGAGTTGTGACAACCAGGGCTCGAGTTGTGAGAATGGATATAGTCCACCAATCACGGCAGCTCGGGTGTTGCAGAGAAGCACCAGTGACAGGTGTTGGTGTTTGGTCCTGGATTTGCTGCGGCAGGACCTGCAGGCTGCAGGCATGCAGTTCAACATGCGGCGGATTGTGGGCACTATGGTTATGTTGTACGGTCGATGGATGTGGTGTGGTCAGAGAAATGTATGAAATTGGTTGACACATTATTACAAGTGTAAGTAGAAAAGAGAACTAGAGAAACACCACTACAAAGAGCACCATGTGTATCAATGAAGTACGGTATTGGCTGCAGATTACCAACAGATACCCTGTTTCAAAACTTGCAGGTACCTTGGTTAGTAGCTTTAAGTTTCTTAGTAGTCATTATGGTGAAAATGACATAGTTTGTGATGAGGTAGAGTTTTGGAAGTGGAGATTTATTGTTCTTCTTAGGACTAGGGTTGTTAGGTTGGTCAAAGGTTTTCTCAGACGTTATGCTGTACCGAATTCGCTTCAGCAGAACGCTACAGAACAGAGCAAAGGTGGTTCGGCAGAAACAGCCAATAGCCAGCAACACTTGTTCGTTTTCCAACGGAAATCAGTCAGCAGGAGGGACTGTTGAGCTAGTCGACCAATCGGCTGGCAGAGAAAGTAAACTGCTGCTCGAGTACAAACAACGGACGCAACTGTCGGGACTAGGAGAGGGACTGCAGTCAGGCTTTGGGATGAACACCTTCGACGCCCCTCAAACCGATCTATTACCTGCGAGAGGTATTATAGACCGAATAAACAGTCCACTTTATCCACCAATTAGAGCAATCGCAAGTTTAGATACAGAGCAGACTTCTTCGGGCCCCAACGAACCCACACTTGCTGGGGTTGCTCCCATTTGCAACCAAACCAAGCACAACCATGGTGAAGCGTTCTGTATAGCATCAAGCCGCATCAAGCCATTCTGAACCATGAAGAACCCAACCGAATCCAACTTGCGACCATTACAACCCACCAGCAGGAGCATCGTTTATGTAAGATTCTCACTGCAGCTGGAAGCTTGTGAAAGCATTCCCTTCCCACAGCAGCAAGCAGAGCAAGCGGCGCTTTCCGATGTAAATTCTGGCAAAGAAACGGCAAACAAGCCGGAGACTGTTTCGTCTGCGGCTTTCCGAGTGCTTGCTACCGTTGCCAGCCATATGTTATCAGCATTAGTCAAATGGCCCTTTCTCCAATCCCGTCCCTTACCTAGCAGCGCAGCACCATCTTGCTCCCTGCAGTGTAACAGCCATTTGCGGTCCGTGCCGGGCAGCACACCATTCGGGGTGACGCCTGTCTCTTCTGACCAACGGCTAGCGCTGTGGGAAGTGAGGACCCATGAGTTATGACCATGGCTCGTGGGAACTGTACAGTCCTCGTTCAAGTGTGCGTTTCCTTGCTCGCACCATTCACAGCCTGACGAATTCCAAGGTACCCCCGAATGTAAGAGACAGCGGTGCAGTGTTCTATCGACCCAACTCTCAAAAGAAGCGAGCTCGGGTAATCGTTGAGCATTGCCTTACGAGTCGTTCCAAAACCACCTTCCATCTCACCGCGAAGTCTCGAGGATAAGACCTCGAGTTCCCCTGCTCCGTCCTCGATTGTCAGTATCGGCCTCCAAAGCGCTTAGCAGCAACGCGTCGATTGGAATCTTACATCTCGGAAGTACGCGCTACGACACAAGCTACTTGTTGTTTAGTAGGTCGCAATACCTACCAGATCCTTAACTATCCGAATAGAGACCCTGAAGGTCTCATCACATCACGAACCAAGAAGAGAGCTTTTGGAACAATGCCGCCGCCGTTTAACTCTGGTACGACGAAGCTCGATACTCTATTCAGCGTGGGCGAGGAGCGCACGGTCGTACTCGCTATAGACACTTGCAAGTCGTGCCTTACCGCGTTCGACTCCCTTGCCGCCTCCTGCCACAAAACGCAATCATTCCTCCCCGCAAATCTCGCCGCTTCTGAAGAATTCCAGCTGAAATCCACGGACCGCCTTGTGGTGGTGTTCCACCACGCGAACCACACTCCCATTAGCATCATGACACGTGGCTCGGGGAAGCTTCACGAAGGGTCAAACGACAGATCGAGTGACAAATCGAGCGACAGCCAATCAGAAAACAGCCCCGCGTCGCCGTCAACCCCGCGGTCCATTTTATCTGCGCTCCTGAGTCCTCTGGCCGCGGGAAGCTCGAAGCTCCGGTCGACCTCCGCATCCGGCGCCGACGACGACGGGGACGACAGCGTCGCGCCACCCAGGCTAAGTCAGCGCCTAACTCCCGTCACCTTTCTTCTCTTTACGAATCCGTGTTAACGCCGTTCCTTCACCACCTATTGCCTCCGCCACCCTCTTCCCCCTCGTCCTAACACCGCCCACTCCCACCTTCCTCTCCTCCCCTGCAAGAAGGCGTTTACCTCTGCTCCCATTTCTAACAATTGCCGACCTTGCTGACTCCCTATCCCCCTTCTCCCATCCCCCAGACCTCCCGCGTCACCAGCTGTGGCGGCCGCAGCTAAACCCTTCAAACGTGGTGCGGCAGATGCAGGAGGCGGGGCGCGCGGACGCGGCGCCGGTGGTTGTGATGGCGCTGATGGAGGAGCGGGAGGTGCGGCGCGCGTTGGCGGAGAGGACGGCGTGGGATCGGCGCACCAAGCGCGCGGTCATGCGCATGGCGGCTGTTGCGCGCGTGTGCAAGGTGAGGGAGGAGGGGGAAGGTGGATTTGGTAGGGAATGCAAGGTGAGGGCACTGCGGAGTTCGCCACGTGGGGGTGCTAGGGCGTGCAGCGTGAGGGGTATGCAGGGTGATGGTGATGGGATTTGCAAGCTGCAAGGCAATGCGAGTGCAAGGTAATGCAAGGCAATGGGATTGTGATGAACGCGGTGCTTGGTGGCATGGCTTTTAGGGCCTGCCTTGTGACACATGTCCTCCGTGCTTGCTCTCATACTCTGCGGCATAATCTCCACATTTCCTCCTCTCCCGTTGGCGTTTTGCAGATTCGGTTCGAAGCTATCGACCTCTCCGACATCGCAGGGGAGACGGACGGCAGCAAAAAACGGGAGACTAATCCCGCCCCATCTACGCAATCGCCACCCTCGGAATCTCCGAGGAAAACCTCTGAAAAATCACCGCCGTCGCAGGCACTCTCGTGGGAGGCAAAGGCAGAAGCAGTGATTCGGTTCTGTCGCCATATCAATGCGGAAATGCTGCTTCTCCCCTCCTCCCATGCTTGTAAAGCGCTCAACTTCTCTGGCAAATTCGCCTCCCATAATTTCACGATTCGCTGTGCCCGAGACGCGCCCTGTCCGTTGATCAAGCTTGGAGCTGATTTAGGTGGTGACCGGAAGGATGGGCGAACGAGGAGTTGCATAGGCCATAGATCGGTGACGGTGAAGGATAGTCAAGTGCCTCGGAGCGCCACGGTGGATGACATTGCAATGTAACAGCACAAGAATCTGTACGTTAAAGCCCAAGACCTGAATTACACACAAAAAAAGGCAAACTGTGCACACTTTGCCTCCCGAACCCAAAGTTGACCTCCCGAGCCAGGATGGTAACCAGAAAACGTCGCATCCCAAGAAGACTGAATCGTAGAGCATAACGCGTCCGCTTGGCGAGAGTTTCAACCACCCTTTCCTGAAGGAGGAAGGGAACTGCCTGTGCACAGTTTGCCGAACAATGGTAATTCAGGAATGCTTGTGCGGCTACTACGCGAAACGCAAAGCTCTGTCAGCGGCATAGGTAGGACCTTCAACCCCGTTGCAACACTTGCTTTGCCCTCATCCCAAGATTGACATGCGCGAAGCGTGACCTTTTTCCACGTCGAAATTAGTGCCGTGAAAGGTAATTTAGCTATCCCCTCACATCGTCCACCCCCTTGACGCACCGTCGCCCTCGCATCCCCCGTTTCCCCGTCGCCCTTGCCCTCCCGACGCCCTTACCCCGGTCCCCTCTCGTCGATTTCTTGTCAACGTCGTGGGGCCACATTCCGATGCTTCGTACACCACTCCGCGCTCCTCTCGCCTCACGGCGCGCGCTCCTCTCGCCTCCCCGCGCGCGCTCCTCTCGCCTCCCCGCGCGCGCCCCTCTCGCCTCCCCGCGCGCGCTCCTCTCGCCTCCCCGCGCGCGCGGCTCTCGCCTCCCCGCGCGCGCTCCTCTCGCCTCCCCGCGCGCGCTCCTCACGCCTCCCCGCGCGCGCTTCTCTCGCCTCCCCGCGCGCGCTCCTCTCGCCTCCCCGCGCGCGCTCCTTTCGCCTCCAGCGCCGCATCTTCCCGCCTCCCCGCGCGCGCTCCTCTTGCCTCCCCGCGCGGCCTCCTCTCACCATCGCCAGCGTGCTCCGCTCGCCATGGCCTCGCGTGCTCCTCTCGCCTTGATAGCGCGCGATTCTGTCGCCTCCCCGCGTGGCCTCCTCTCACCATCCCGCGCGTGCTCCTCTCGCCTCCCCTCGCATGAGAGGCGAGCCTTTATAGCGCGCGCTTCACTTGCCTCCCCGCGCGGCCTCCTCTCACCTCCCCGCGCATCCTCCTCTCGCCGCCTCACGCGTGCTTCTCTCGCCTCCCCGCGCGAACTCCTCTCGCCTCCCCTCGTGTGCACCTCTCACCCCCCCTCTACCGCCCCTCTTGCCTCCCCGTGCAACCTCCTCTCACCTCCCTGCGCGTGCTCCACTCGCCTCCCCTCGCGTGGTCCTCTCACCTCACCTTGTGTGCTCCTCTCGCCCCCCCACGCGTGCTCCTCTCTCCTCATCTTGCGTGCTCCTCTCGCCTCCCCACGCGTGCCCCTCTAAGATGCGTGAGGGGCTTCACCTCCCGTCTCCTCACTGCCTCTCTTCGTCTCGCGACAGCCTCTGTTCGCGTCGCTGATCGCAAATATTGCCCTTGGCCCCTGCTCACGCTCTTGCAACGGCTGTGCTTCCGCATCCCCTCTGCACGCCCTCTTTCCTCCTCTTCCACGCCCTCATTTCCCACCCTGCTTGCCCACGTTTCCCCACCTTGCAGTCCCTCACAAGCCCTCGGTGCAGGCCCTCTCGCCTCCCGTGCTCCACTCTGGAATGTGGGACGCTCCTCTCTCCTCACCTCCTGTGCTCCCCTCTGACAGGTGGGGTGCTCCTCTCTCCTCACCTCCCGTGGTCCACTCTGACAGGGCATGGTGCTCCTCTCCTCTCGCCTCCCGTGCTCCACTCTGGAATGTGGGACGCTCCTCTCTCCTCACCTCCCGTGCTCCCCTCTGACAGGGGGGTGCTCCTCTCTCCTCACCTCCCGTGCTCCCCCCTGACAGGTGGGGTGCTCCTCTCTCCTCACCTCCCGTGGTCCACTCTGACAGGGCATGGTGCTCCTCTCCTCTCGCCTCCCGTGCTCCACTCTGGAATGTGGGACGCTCCTCTCTCCTAACCTCCCTTGCTCCCCTCTGACAGGTGGGGTGCTCCTCTCTCCTCACCTCCCGTGCTCCCCTCTGACAGGTGGGGTGGTCCTCTCTCCTCGCCTCCCGTGCCCCACTCTGACAGGGCAGGGTGCTTCCGGACCTGTTGTTTAGTGCCTGACCTGCCCACCCTCCCCTACACAGCCAACTCAATTCAATGACCTGCGTAATCGGATAGTCCCTCCCCCCCCCCCCTCCCCCTCCCCCCTCCCAACCCATTCACTCCCTAACCCTTTCCCAGGGTTCGAGCTCGAAGAGTTGTGCAGCCAACGGGCTTGCCCCTGCAGGTTCAAAATGCGAAAGAACGGTGGGGAATATCTGAGTTTGAGGAGCGATATGCCAAGCAGCATCGTGTGCTTGACGCTTGGGCGCGACATTGGCTCGGATTGTCGGATGAGGAGGGCCCCGGGAGTCAGGGAATTAGTGTGGGGAGCATTCTGATGGTGTGCTTGGGAAAAAACACGGAAGAGGATTCTCAAGGTCACCCTATGGAGATTGATTTTGGGATGAGGTCAAACGATGCTAGGTCAATTGTCAATGTGGCCACGCAAGAGTCTGGAATTTATTGATTGTTAGCAAGAGAGAGATGGTTATCGGGTACGATTTACACTGTACATGTGTTCCTCTTTTTACACAGACTGCAATAGTTTGACATGTGGTTGGATGACCATCCAGCTATGATGGAAAGATCAATGAAGAAGCCCTAGGTATGTTATTTGATGGGGAAGGACATGTTTCACTTCTTAGCTTCTAGCCATCGGGGAGCGCGTTGCGTCATTTGCCTCCACTACTTGTGAAAAAACGGCATGCTCACGTGCACGGTATTAGTGTGAGGCAAGCACACGCTTAGAGTTACACGTGAACACGTGTAGGTGCAGTGATGAATGGGGCTGATGGTGACTTGGCTGATGTCCAACGCTGCTTGCCCTAGCCCTTGCGGATCTGAGCACAAAGAGAGGCGGGAGGGTCGAGACAGGTGGAGAAACAAGTACACAAAAAGTGGAGAGGTGGAGACAGATACTACGGAAACAAGTTTACCGTATCGCCCCGGATATAACCGCAGGCCTGTGTTAAGTGCATGCGCTTCTATCTGGAGCAATGCGCTTATGGCCGATCCTCAATTAGAAGCGCACCCTCTAAAAAAACCTTACTTATTTTAAGCGCACTCTTGCTGTATAGACAAGAATGTCTGTTGGTTTTTTCACTTTCTTTACAACCTTCGTACAAACTACATAACTCTGGCGAAAAATTTCAACTAAAACTTTCAAGTCAAATACATTAGACTAGCATCCTAGCCTACACAACATTTTTAAGTTTAGTCTAGCCTAAGGCTTACTCCTCATCCGACTCAGGCTCCGTGGAGTTGTTGCCAAAGAACCCGTCTGCTTGGATGTCGTCATCAACCTATACCTCGTGGGATAGCTGACCTCTCCGGTGCGCCAGCACCAGTCCGTCTTCACTCCCGTCAAGGGCATTGCTGATGCCGCAGGTGAGGAACGCTCTCTTAATCAGGTCGGCGGGCACAGCTTTCCACGCCCGTGAAATCCACTTGAGCACCACCTCCGGAGATGGTTTCTTAATGTTCCCTGCACCACATACACGGGGGTGGGAAACACGTGGGTCCACAAGAAGGCAGACATACAGACGAAGCGGTCACGGGAGAACACTTTTGCGTACCTGCGGGTGTCACGATGTTCATGCCGTCCTGCTCGAACCAGGTCTGGTACTGCTGCCGAACACTCGCCTTGAAGCTTCTGTTGACCGACACATCGAGCGGCTGCAAGTCTGCCGTGCATCCCGCTGGGATGACCGCCGGCACAATGTTGAGTTCCGCGAACTTCGCCTTGACTTCGGGTGTCAGGTGTCCACGATAGGAGTCGAGCACTAGCATGGCGCTCCGGCTCTGCAATCCGAACTTCGGTTTTAGGAATGGCACCACGCCTGCACCGAGCCACTCGATTACGCCCGAGGCCTCCATCCACCCGTTAGCTTGGCAACCGACCACGACATCTGCATACAAGCAAGCGGTGGTTAGATTTTACTTTTGTTCTTCCCCTCGGAAACACGCGCATACGCAGTTTCTTAGCGTTCGGAAAGTCACCCTTTGGGAGGGTCTTGCGCTTGAAAAACACCTACGGCTTCAACTTCTCGCCCGTCGCCGTGCACGCCAACATCACAGTGACTCTCTCTTTCTGGTAACCACCACTGCAGATGGGCACCGACTTCACGCCCGTCTGCTCCACCGTAGTAGTCGCCGGCATCTCCAGCCACAAAGGCGTCTGGTCGGCATTGATGATGTAACGATTGTCGATGTCGTATTCGTGGCGTGCGTCGCGGACAAACTGCCAAAATTCCTTGCACTGATTGGCCACGTCTGCGCACGGGGAGGAGGAACGGTTACAAGGGCGGATGAGCACCGCTACAGATAAACAAACATGGGCAAGAAAGTACTGAAATGCAAGATAAAATTTCACGATAGGATGACATTGCACGGACAGGCATTTACGCTGCTGTGTCTTTTGCGCCACCTTTGTTTTCATGCGCACGGTGAGATTCCACCGCTTGCGGAACCGCTCCGTCCAGCGCTGACTCGCCTTCCACTTGACGTTCGGGAACAACACCTTCATCACCTCTTTTGACCACTCTTGCAGCCGGCCGACTGATACTGCCACACCGCGGCGTCGCCAGTCCAGGAGTTGGGCGTACACCTTCATCTCCATGGGTCTGTACCAGGAAGACCTTCCGCGCCCATGAAGTCGACACCGAGCACTGTGTGCAACCTTGAGCTCCTCCGCTTGGTTTTTCCACTCTGTGAGGCATTTGCGGTGTATGCCGGACTCTCGCGCGACTTCGCTTACCGATGCAGCAAGCTCCAGCCGAACAAGCCACTTCAGTTTCTCATGGGCGGTGTAGCGCTGCCGTTTGTGTTGAGTCGGCTTGTGCCTGGGAGAGGGGGGGCGGGCATCTCGGTTCTCAGAGGAGGGGTGGGGTCGTTTTTTTTTTATCGACGGATACGTTGGTATCGGCATCTTCTCGCGTGGTGCGTCGCGCCACCAAGACTCCACACCGTCGTCGTCCGCGTTTGTAGCTTCACGATCTGGGAATACGTCCTCCTCGGCGCCCTCTTCACCGTCGACTCCATTGTCGTCTCCAGCATCGTCGTCGCATGTGGGTTGTTTATCGGCGGCCACGTCATCGTTGGCGCCCACAGCCGACTCGTCCCACGTGCAGGCTTCATGATTTCCCCACCGAGGTGCAGTCGGCGGACCATTGATTTGCCTAGCCTTGGGTGTGTCTGGTTCAGACAACCACTCGTCGAAAGTGGCAGGCAAATATAACTGGAGCACGGGCCGATGGTGACCCCACGCGTTAGGAACAGGAGTCGGAGGATTCGGAGGAGCGGGAGGAGCAGGAGGAGCAGGAGGTGCAGGAGGAGCAGGCGGTGCAGGGGGTGTAGGTGGCACTGGAGGCGCTGGTGGCTCACGTGTATACCACCCGTCCGAGGTTAGTCGCCAGGCGCGGGTTGGTTTCTTCTTGAAAAGGAGGTGCGTCCCACTGAATTCCGCCATGGCTTTGCCAGCCAGGCGGTCTAGACTAGAAACTGAATGAAAAAAATGAGGAGGAGGGTGCAGAAATGGGCAACGTCAGGGACCCCTGCGGGCTAGCGGCTCGGGGTCCTCGTCAATGACAGGCAGGAAACCCCCGCCTACCCCCGTAGAGGAACCTGCGTGGCAGCATATTCGCTGAGGTGGCAGGGAATCTTCCCCACCCTTCGAGAGGGTTCGGAAGAAATGCAGATGCCACGCAGCGCATGTGGCTGTGATTGGGCCGCACGGCAACATCCCCGTCACTCCTGTCACGTTCGATGGTTCTAGACAACTTTGTGCGGTGGGAAACCGAACCGCAACTGTTTTTGCCTGAAAACCATGCACGATCCCACTTGTTGCATGGTCCGTTGGATTCGCATTATTGCGGGCTTCAGTTTAGTATGTTTCAAAGTGAATTTCATTTTATCCTTATTATAGGCGCATGCGCGTATACAGACACCTCAATTAGAAGCGCACCCCCCCAAAAAATATTGTTTTATTATAAGCGCACCTGCGCTTTTATCCGGGGTAACACGGTACAAAAAGTGGTGCGTAGTGCATGTATCAGGCCAAACAGAGTGTGTCTCAGTGTAGTGCATGTGGGCCGGACAGAGCAGCCTCGGCGAGCGGAACGTGCACTACGGACAGCATGAGCAATGCAGAGCAGACAGTGCAATGACTCACCTCCCGTGTGAGGTCTCGGCCACTCTCTTCACAGATATGCAGCATGCTCTCCGTTGGGTGACATGCAGGGGGGGATAGGAATGTGGGACAGGAGAGAGGATGGGATAGGCAAGGGAGGGGAACTGTGGCGGAACCAAAAATTGGGAGCTGGACAAGGGGAAGGGGATGGAGCGGGGGGCGGGACGGGAAAAAGGGGGAGAGGGAATGGGTGAGAGGGGAGACGATAGTGGGGGAGGGTAACGTTTTGGTTGACCGGGCTGAAGGATTAAGTCTCTTGGGGCGGATGTGGGGAAGGGAGGATGTGGGGAAGGGAGGATGAGATGAAGGGCGGATGTGGGGAAGGGAGGGTGAGATGAAGGGCGGATGTGGGGAAGGGAGGATGAGATGAAGGGCGGATGAGGGGGTGGGAGGACGAGAAGACGGGTGGACAAGAGGAAGGGTGGATGATAGGGAGGGCGGATGAGGGGGGGGGGGGGGGGGGGGGGAGTAGGGGAGAGAGGATGAGAGAGTGAAGGGCGGATGAGAGGAAGGGCGGATGAGAGGAAAGGAGGATGAGAGGAAGGGGGGATGAGAGGAATGGAAGGGGAGAGGAAGGGAGGATGAGAGAAAGGGAGTATAAAAAGGAGAGAGGATGGGAGAGAAGGGCAGATGAGAGGAAGGGCGGATGAGAGGAAGTGGGGATGAGAGGAAGGGGGGATGAGAGGAATGGAAGGGGAGAGGAAGGGAGGATGAGAGAAAGGGAGTATAAAAAGGAGAGAGGATGGGAGAGAAGGGCGGATGAGAGGAAGGGCGGATGAGAGGAAGTGCGGATGTGGGGATGGGAGGATGATAGGAAAGGAAGATGAGAGGAAAGGAGGATGAGAGGAGGGGGGGATGAGAGGAAGGGAGGACGAGGGGAACAGAGGATGAGATGAAGGGCGGATGTGGGAGGATGAGAGGAAGGGGGGGTGAGAGGGAGGTTGGATGAGAGGCCGCGCGGATGAGGGGAAGGGAGGATGAGATGAAGGGCGGATGAGGGGGAGGACGGATGAGGGAGAGGGAGGACGAGAAGAAGGGTGGACGAGGGAAAGGAGGAAGAGAGGGAGAGATGATGAGATGGAGAGAGGATAAGAGCGCGAAGGGCAGATGAGAGGAAGGGCGGATGAGAGGGAAGGAGGATGAGAGGAAGGGGGGATGAGAGGAATGGAAGGGGAGAGGAAGGGAGGATGAGAGAAAGGGAGTATGAGAAGGAGAGAGGATGGGAGAGAAGGGCGGATGGGAGGAAGGGCGGATGAGAGGAAGGGCGGATGTGGGGATGGGAGGATGACAGGAAAGGGAGATGAGTGGAAAGGAGGATGAGAGGAGGGGGGGATGAGAGGAAGGGAGGACGAGAGAAAGGGAGTATGAGAAGGAGAGAGGATGGGAGAGGAGGAGGAAGGGCGGATGAGAGGAAGGGCGGATGCGAGGAAGGAAGCAGGGCAGGAGGATGCGAGGAAGGGTGGACGCGAGGAATGGTGGATGATAGGGATGGCGGATGAGGGGGGGGGGGGGGGGCTGAAGTAGGGGAGGGAATACGAGTGGAGGGGAGGACGAGATGAAGGGCGAATGAGAGGGAGAGACGATGAGAAGGAGAGAGGATGAGAGCGTGAAGGGCGGATGAGAGGAAGGGCGGATGAGAGGAAGGGCGGATGAGAGGAGAGGAGGATGAGAGGGAGGTTGTATGAGAGGAAAGGAGGATGAGAGGAAGAGGGGATGCGAGGAAGGTTGGATGAGAGAAGGGAGGATGAGATGAAGGGCGGATGAGGGGGAGGCTGGATGAGGGGGAGGGAGGACGAGAAGAAGGGTGGATGAGAGGGAGGGCGGACGAGGGGGAGGGCGGATGAGGTGGAGGGCGGATGAGGGCGCGTGGCGAAAGAAGGGTAGGGAGGACGAGTGGAAATGAGGACGATAGGAGGGGCGGATGAGAGGGAGAGAGGATGTGAGAGAAGGGTGGACGAGAGGAAGGGCGGATGAGAGGAAAGGAGGATGGAGAGAATTGTGAGCGACAGGTAGCGAAATGTGGGCGATGGGGAGGGAAACGAGGGCGACGAGAGGGGAAATGAGGGCTACGGGAAGGGAAATGTGGGCAATGAGAGGGGAAATGAGGGCTACGGGAAGGGAAATGTGGGCAATGAGAGGGGAAATGAGGGCTACGGGAAGGGAAATGTGGGCTATGAGAGGGGAAATGAGGGCGCAGGGAAGGGAAATGTGGGCGACGGGGAAGGAAATGAGTGCGACGGGAAGGGAATTTAGTGCGACGGGCAGGGAAACGAGGGCGACAGGGTGGAAATGTGTGAGAGGGGACGGGAAATTAGTGCGACGGGAAGGGTAATGTGGGCGACGGGAAGGGAAACGAGGGCGACGGGAAGGGAAGTGAGTGCGACGGGAAGGGAAATGGGGCGACGGGAAGGGATTTGTGGCCGACGGGTTCGGTAATGTGGGTTATCGGGAAGGGAATGGAGGGCGACCGGACTCGGGAAGCGTGGGCGTCTCGAAATATTGGATACGAGGGCGACGGGCCGCGAAATGCGTGCGACGGGAAGCTGAAATGTGGGCGACGGGAAGCTGAAAATGAGGGCGACGGGGGGCTGAGATGAGCCCGACGGGAGGCTTCTCACCATGCGCTATGTGAAAGGCAGGCGCTCGCAAACGGGGGACCGTGAGGGGCAGGGCGGAAGGCTTGACGCCGGGGGCGCCTCGAGCGCGTGGGAATCTAAGCTGTACCGAGTGGTGGCGTAACAAGGCTATGTGGGGCGCCCCGTCTCATACGTCCGCCCTGTTCCTTATTTGTTGAGGGCGTTGTCCTCAACACCCTAAAAATCGCGCCTTTCCGGGTCCATCAACACAGACATTCGCTCCTAATGGCTCCTTCTCGTTTTTCTAGAAGCTAAGGCCGCGCCTGGCTGAAGGGGACGTAGGACTAGTTATGTTTGTTCGAGTGCCTGTCATTCCCTATTCAAACTGTGCACACTTTCCCTTCGCGTGCTTCTCAGGTTTGTCGAACTTGGGAAGATGGGCCTTGTGTGCCATGTTTGTTCTAACCCATTAGCAAGTGCACAGTTTGTGGCGAACTGTTTTCAGTCGCAAGGTGGTTTTGCTTTTTCGCGTGTCACTCAACCCATTCGAACCTCCAACTGGCAGCCCGCCGAACCTAAGAAAAACTCAGTTGACTTGCGTTGAGTAATTCAGGTCTTGGGCTTTAAAATCATCTCTATGGGTATGGGCTATTCTTCCTTCTAACTTTGGTTGGGCGAGATCCCGTTGACAGCTACAAACAACCACTTCACTGTGGATAAGAACTCTTGAGATGGCTTTATCTCGCTGTCTCAGTATGTATATATACTTATATTACTGAGAGCTACTGAATAATAGTAAGAGAGAAGTAGACACGACCTCTCATCCCGTGCATGTACCGGTATCACATTTATAGGCTCAAGTGCTTCGGTAGTAGCCCATGGGAACCATGAAGTATTTTGCACTACCTCTCATTTCAAGTATTTTGGTGCCAACGGGACCCATGAAGTATTTTGTACCCATGATCTCCCTTTTTTCGCTCGATTCTACCCCCAACAGAAGTCGGTCAGGCTGGGTGTAGGCTGGTTGGATTGGGATGGGAGGGATCCGCGTAGTGTGTGCATTGCACCCCCACTGCTGGTTGCCCGTTTTCTTGGGCTTTCGGAGGAAGGCGGCGAAGCAGGGTTCGCGTCGCGCGTTCCCTGCTAGGCGGCGCTGGGGGTGTCGATTCTCTCCAACCAAGTTTCAAAGGTCAGCTTGGAGGATCCGAGGAGGAATATGGGCGGCTGGGTTACGACGAGCGAGGCAGGAGGGAGGGACAGGTGAAGTACACGTAGTAGGAAGGGGAGGGCTGTGCCGCGGGAAGGGTTACCCAAAACGGAGTGACCGACCAAAGCAGCACTGTCTGGTTTTGAACATAGTGCACCAAGTGACATAGTGGAACAGATTATACACCCAACCACCGCTATTTTCAACCCCGAACCCTTGCTCTGTTCCCGCGTTTCGAAGATACCCCGCACGCATTCAACTATTTCAGTTGGGCACTGATCAACATGAGCACCCCGATTTTCAATGTTGAGAAACGCATGAAAGCTAATCTGAGACAATTACCGCTCGTGTGAAGGGGCGCTCTTGCTGTTGCGAATTCCCTTGTGCCACTTCTACTCTTTTTGGGGCTCTGGAACTAACTCACTGTGAAATAGTGTGAAATTTCTGACGCCCACACAACCCTCGGTCAAAGATTCCAGAAAGGGTGCATACCCACTTGCGCAAGTGGGCTTGAAAATAGACCGAAAGAAAATAGCGGTGGCTAGGTGTACCTACCTCTTCTCAGTTCTGTTTACGCGAACATTTTTTCCCGCTGTACTTTTACTGTAGGTGCAGAATAGCGAATAGAGTGCCTCGGCTCGATGCAGCAATTCAAGATTGAACTACGCGACGCGACGTGTTCAATATTTTGTTTATTCCTGTAAACTAACCTCGCACTGCTTTCCATGTTTTTAAATATCTCTCAATCCCATGGACTAATACAAACGCTTTCGCGGTATGTTCACACTTACTCTGGAAAGAGTGTTGAGACAGTTTCGCTGGAAGTTACATTCTCGAACAGGCATGGTTAACCCTACCTTCCTTGTTTTTGTTTTATTTGATAGATATTCAGGTAATACAGTGCCGTCTAGGTTGTCACCTACTCAGGTGCGTGAGGGAATGCTTGCCGCTGCGATGGTCAACGTACAGAAATTATAACGCGATTATGTCTAATCTTATTCGGTACAGTTGTACATTCTGCAGTGATGCAAGATCCCATGGAAATATCTACCATCCATAAAATTAATAAAAGAAACGACTGGTCCAAAACGGTACAATTGACCTGCAGAGTGGCGTATGCAGACGACGATCTTGCATTGAAATGGTCTTCATTACTTTGATGTAACGCGCCCTCAAGGTAGTGGTCTTAACTCTACCGGGTGATGAGGAACATTGTAGAGACACTTGGATAACTCACAACAACAAAATATCTATCGTTCTCATGCCACTATGCATCACGGCGTTAGTATGGATCATGGCTACAGACGCGCAAAAAGACAACTCCTACGCTTGGTATGCAACCATTGCATCGGGATTGCGTTAGATTCGTTATCATGAAAAAACAACCAATTGTTGGGGACCCTAACATCGAGAAAGCCAAACAGACAGAACAACCGCACCGTAATGGCGGGTGTAGAAACAAGTGACAGTCCATGGGATTGAGAGAAATAAACAAAATAGGGAGGGTTGTTCGGTGGTATTTCGCATGATTGAGCAAAATGTGAAACACATCGCGTAGTGCAATTATTTTGCAATTCAAGCAAGGATGAGGGCCAACATTATAGCATGCAAATTAGTATGGTAGCCCTATGCAATTGTATGCAAAACCGTCGATACCCGAGTTGGCCGAAGAAGGGAATGGTGATTTGCCAGGTACACCGTCGTTACCTGTATCAGCAGTACAGCCGATCCAGCATATATATATATATATATTCACGAAGCTCCTGGTACAAAGCAATTATCATTGTCGAAATGTGGCAAATATGAGGGGTCAATTTGCATTTTGCTTGGCATGATCCGAATTCGCGTTTGACTGTGATTGTTTGTGTTATTTCGAATCGGATATCGGATGGAAAAGTTGCTAATCGAAAGCAAGACCTAAAACTGAATTCGGTGCTCGTACCTGCACAGTAACACGGATTACACATGAGTAGATTTCCACGCAAATGTAGATTGCACCTGAAAATGGCCCCCAATTCAGGAGGTAGGGTTTGTAGAAATCGGACTCTTGGATTACTAGGGTGAAAGGTAGAAATGCACCAGTTGCGAAGCGCGCCTGGTGCATTAGCAATGATCGGAACCTGCCGGGGGCAGAACCGGGAAAATGCTTCCCCAGTTAACAACGGCGGAACAATGCACTGTACTAGTTAATACCTGTACTGTACAGTACCGAGTTGGTCGGTGGTGCCCTCGGTCGGCAGTCGGCCAGGTTTACAAGCAGAATACGACAAATCTAGCGAATCACCTGAAGATCGGTGACACTGTACTGTACGAGCTAGCGCCCCCATAACGCGACGCGGCTCTTCTAGTGGCAAGGCATCCGAGGGTAGTTCCAGCTGTCGGGAAGATCTCGAACGCAACAATTCAGGTGATTTGCTACGCTGCGGATATTCCGAGGCGATTCTGGCTCGACGCGGCGGCGGCTCCTCTGGCGCGGCATCCGCGGGTAGCTCCAGCAGTCGACTCGATGGAGGAAGTGACTCAGGAAGCGATGGAGGCCGTCGATCTGTCGGAAGGACGAACGGCTACTGTTGTTTCTCAGGCAAGCACTCACATCACCTCGAGAATCGGTGCCGAAACTGATTACGGCAGAAGCGCAGATATCAGCGCCGGAAAGCTGTCGTCTGAGCCCTCGGCGGTAAGCATTGCCTTCACGAGCGCGCACCACCGGTTTCTGAATAATATTACTACCGGAAAACGTGTATTAGCGGCTAATATTAATCACGCATGAATGGTGACGAGCACATATTCTTCCTCTCCAGTCGTCCAAAAACGTCGCCCCGGGCGATACAGGGGCCCTAATATGATCTTCGCTTCGCCCCTAATATGATCTTCGCTTTCCGCGCTAATCAGTCATAAGCAGCTTCCATTTTCCGGTCAGGAGGGTGTGTGCCGTTTAGTTTAGATTGGCGGATCTCCTCAAAGGCTTCTGACAGACAGACGGACAGACAGCGAGTGGGTTCAATCGACGGCGCTGCCGACGCGCTCGCGGATTACTGCTAATCTCGATATGAGCAGCATCTATGGCGCCCTCCTGGTGCCCCAGGCGCATCACAAAACGTGCGTGTGACAGCATAATTCTAGTTTTGAGGCGCCTCAAAACGTGCGTGTGACAGAGCATAATTCTCGGCTTTGAGAATAATACGACTGCAAGTCTATCAGGTCCCAGGACACTTCAAACGGCATTCCCCTTCTCTCACCCCTCCGCCCCCCTCTTCCCCTTCTTTCTTTCCCCACCCCAGCACTTTTTCTCAGGGTAGATGTTCTGTATATCCACCATTAAGCACTACTGTGCATCCGTTTAGTCATCATTGGATTGCGTTCACCATTCATCATGCATCAGGCATCAATCATCACGCAGAATGCATCATGCATAATGCGTCATGCATAAGGCATAATGCATCATGCATCATGCATAATGCGTCATGCATCAGGCATCATGCATCATGTATAATGGTAAGTCTGGACGTCATAACACATAAGCCATCAATTACGCAGCTTTGTTACGCCAGAAGCCTGAAGTCTCGTACAGGTGCTACCAATCTCTCCCTGGCACTTCGCTGCTACCACCAATGATCAATCTCTCCCCCTGACACTTTGCTGTTACCACCAATGCTACCATTCTCTTCCCGTACTTGTCGCTACACGCTTCTCTGCTTTTAATCCGTGGCAGGTCGCATGGATCCCCATCCCGCAGGGCATCCCTGCCTGCATCTGTGGCTGTCAACAAGTCTCCAACCGGCATCGCTGCTTCATCACCATCACCATCACCATCATCAGATTCATCAAAATCATCATCACCATCACCATCGTCATTGTCGTTGAATCCAGTACTACTATTGGACTCATCACTGCCGCTCTATCATGGAGCCGCCGCAGCAGCCCAAGCTTCTGGCGCTGCGGCGGCCGCAGCCACATCGAGCAGCCATGGCGGATCCTGTCGCCATTCGCTCTGCCGTCGCCGCAGCCTCACGCCTCCACGCCGCCCCTCTGCCGCTCTGCTGCTGTTTCCGCTGGCTTCCGCGCGTTCCCTCTGCGACAAACGCTTGCTGCTGCTGCTTGCTCTGCTCGGGACGCTTCTTGTCGGTTTCCTCGGCGGTTTTGCGGGGCATCGCAGGCGGGGAGGACCGATTGAAAGCTCGCAGCAGCAGCAGCAGCAGCAGCAGCAGCAGCAGCAGCATGATCGCTTAGGGTTCTCGTTCAAGGAGTCGGGTGCAGGCTCCTCCTGCGCGGCGGTGCTTTCCGGGCTGTCCCAGTACGACGTTGTGATTATAACAGAGGTGCGCTCGCGTCCACCGAATCATGTTCTTGTCTCCTCGTCGCATATATAATTCTCCAGTTTAAGTTTGCATTCCAGCACGTGGCTGTCCCAGCACGAATGTCAGCACGTTGTGATCATATCAGAGGTGCGCTGACGTCTTTTGAGTCGACTCCAATGTCAGCACGTTGTGGTCATATCAGAGGTGCGCTGACGTCTAGTGACCCTTCTCTGGTTGTTGTCTCGGATGTGCATTCTCCGCCTCCTGCGGGCGAGCAAGTTCATCAAGCTTTCTCTGGGAGAAGATAGAACGCCAGAGTACCTTCTCTATGATACCTTCTCATCCCATCATCACACCGTCTCATGCCATTGACCTTAACTCACAACAATTCCCGAACTTGCACTTCACCACCATTTCTCCACCACTCTTACCCACCCCGGTTGTTTCCCACCCCGGTCCTCTTCCCCCTCCGTCTTCCTCCTTCCTCTCACACGCGTTCGATTCCCACCAGGGCAGCACAGCAGCGCGCGTGGTGTCGCTGGCGGGGGTGCGAGGCACAGCCATGGCGGCAGGGCTGTCTGCGAAGGCTGGAAGGTCGACAGCAACTCGTTTTGAGACGTCGCATAACAAATTCATTATCACATGTCCCTCCCCTTCCGATTCCCTCCAGGGCAGCACAGCAGCGCGCCTGGTGTCGCTGGCGGGGGTGCGCGGCACAGCCATGGCGGCAGGGCTGTCTGTCAAGGCGCTGTGGGTGCTCGACGGCCACTTGCATGGCGGTTCCTCCTTCTCCTCGCTCTTTTCTCTGCAGTATGACCAACGGTAAGCAGTACACACAGGCACGGGCACGGGCACAGGCACAGGCACAGGCACAGGCACAGGCACAGGCACAGGAACTGGTACAGGGACAGGGACACGCACACGCATGTGCACTTGCACAGGCAGATGCACATGCACATGCAGACAAACATACTCCATCCATGACCAATGTGCAAAAACCAGTTCCCTCATCAACCCATAGTCCCTTCTTGCTGCTGCTCTCGCTGCGCTGCCGCCGCCCCTACTGCCGCCATTACCGCTGCTGCTGCTGCTGCTGCTTCTGCCGCCGCCGCCGCCGCCGCTGCTGCTGCTGTTGCTGCGGTCTTGTTGTTTGCTTGCTGCGGCCCTGTTCTCACCCTTGCCATACTCTCTGTGGACGTGGACGATGTGACAACAGCATGTGTTACCGGCCTGCTGGAACAGGCTTTTGAGTTTACTCAAAACTGCGGCCCTCTTCTTACCCTTGACAGGTTTTCTGTCGACGATGTGACCACGGCATGTGTAGTGGACGTGCTGGAACAGGCGCAGCAACTCTCGCTTTCGTACAAAGAGGTAACTTACCCTTTTTCGCTTGAGCAGAAGAATGGTGTTTTACCATCCCATCCGTACAGGAGAAAGAGGAGACTGTGTTTTGTCTTTGAAAACTGAACAGTGATGTGCTCCGTCGACTTTTGAGTCGACTCAAGCGTCAAATCAAATCTTGGAAATGTGGTTTGCGCTTGCAAGCAGAACAGAACAGGGATGTGTCACTTGATATAACGATTTGGGTTGTGTAATCACTGTGTGACAGCGTCCCCCTTACCTTCCCCTGGCCCATCATTCCATCCTACCGTACCTTTTTCCACCACCACTTTTAGCTCATGGCACCCTGTCTACCTACCTGTGTGTGTCCCATCCTAACTTTGCTGCGTGCGCCACTCTGCTCCCCGCTTGCTCGCAACAACACAGGTGTGTGTCGGCGAGTGCAGCAGCGCTCGCCAAGCAGCAGCTTGCGGTGTTGGGAGCAGGAACAGGAGCGAGAAGGGGAGTGGCAGCGGGAACGGGAGCGGGAGTGGCAGCGGGAACGGGAGCGGGAGTGGCATGTCTGTCGTGAGAATGCTGCTGTCGGACCGTGCACTGGCAGCACCCTCAGGGGTATGTGATGTGATGTGATGTGATGTGTGTGATGTGTGTGATGTGTGTGATGTGTGTGATGTGTGTGATGTGTGTGATGTGTGTGATGTGTGTGATGTGTGTGATGTGTCTGATGTGTGTGATGTGTGTGATGTGTGTGATGTGTGTGATGTGTGTGATGTGTGTGGTGTGTGGTGTGTGATGTGTGATGTGTGCGGCATGTGGTATTTTGTATGTGCAGCAGGGAGGGGCTTTTGAGATGTTTTCAGAGGCATGTTCGTCGTGGGAATTCTGCTGTTGGACTGTGTGCGCTGGCATCACTTTCAGGTGTATGTGATATGTGACGTGTATCTTTGGATTTTCTCAACAATACCGCACACCTTTCCTTCCCTTCCCTCTCAAACTATACCACAATTTATTTCTCACGTCTAATAATATCCTTACTCCTTCCGTTCCCCACCTCTCCTTCCACTGCAGACCCACCTCTGCTGGTCGGCTGCTGACCTGGCATCCAGCCTGCAGGCGTTCCGTCCAGCTCAGCACATCCTCCGCCAGCTGGCGGCAGAGGACCTGCCACCTGTGCAGCAATCCACCGCAGTCTTCCTCGAGGTGAGCAAAATTGTGTCTCATGTGGGGAAGTGTCTCACTCTTAACTAAAAAATGTTGCAAATTTCTGTCGTTACCCTAAACCCAAAACATTAGGTTTCCCTTGCACACTCCTGTCCAGGCGGCCTTGCCAGCTGCTCCCGTCTGCCGCCTTCCTGCACCAACAGTCACCTCTCCCCTTCTCTCCCCCCCTCCACTCTCCCCCGTACTCTCCCCCACACCCCTCCCCTCCCTCCTCCACCCGCTCCCTTCTTCCCCACCACATTAGGATATTTCTCTAGACTCCTGCCCCACGAACCGAACCCCTTCTCTCCTGCACGGCACCAACGGCCATATTCTTCCCTTCTTCCCCACCCCCCTTTCCTTCCCCCATCAGGACACCCCTCTAGACACCTGCCCCGGCTGCCCCGCCAACCTCTCCCTCCTTGTCCCCCCTTCCTGCACCAACTGCCGCACCCTCCCCTTCTCCCACTCCCTCTCCTCCTGCGCCGCCCGCCGCATCGCCTACGCCGCCCTGCGCCGCCCGGACCGCGACTTCACTGTGGCTGCTACAGTGCCGGCTGCCGCCCTGGCTGCGGCCGGCATGTTCCACGAGTCAAGGGCGCCACTGGTGCTGCAGGCAACGCGAAGGAGGGGGGAGTTGGGGTGCGGAACAGGGGCGTGGTGGGGGGGATGGGCGGGGGGGAGTATCTGGGGAGAGGTTCGGGGAGCGGGGGGCATGTGGGGAGGGCGTGGCAGGGGAAGGGGGTGGAAGAAGTGGGGGAGGAGGAGTGGGTGGTGGGGCGGTGTGCTTGGAGGGAGGCAATGGGGGAGCGGTGGAACGGAGAGTTTGTGGTGGTGGAAGTGGGTTCTTGGGGGACCAGCAAGAAGGGAGCTGTGTGCTCAGCTAGAGGTGCGTGGTGAAACAGTGGTGGGATGGGATGGGTGTGACACAGGTAGAGTTAGATCTGAAGTCTACCAAAAGGTCAACCGCAATACAATGAGCGAATGCTCCCCTTCAACACCCCATCCCACCCCACCCCACCCCACCCCACCCCACCCAACCCCACCCCACCCCGCCCCATACCAACCCCTCAGATCGTGGAGTTCCTCGCGCTGGCCCACGCGCCCTCGCTCTTTTTCGCCCTCCACGATTCCCCCGAGGCCCGCCTTCTCACAGCCTTCGCCACTGCTGTGAGGGGTCCCCTCGGCCTCCCCCCTGCTGCTGTGGAGCCGGCTGTCTGCCCCTCGCCCGTGCTGCCGCCGCTCGCTAGCCTGCGGTTTGCACAGCAGATGATCATGGACGGTGAGAGATGGACGGTGAGAGATGGACGGTGGGGAATGGACGGCGGAGGATGGACGGTGGGGGATGGACGGTGGGGGATGGTCGGTGGGGGATGGACGGCGAGAGATGGATGGCGAAAGATGAACGGTGGGAGACGGACAGTGGGAGATTGACGCTGAGAGCGTTAAACGATGAAGCAATAAAAGTCTTACATCAGCTGAAATTCCCAAGGAACGTCCAAGTTCAACGTTTTCTTGTCCCTACTTTCCCACGATGCTCCTTGTGAAAACATCTCAATGAGAACATGCAAACATTCCCATTCCCATTCCCATTCCCATTCCCATTCCCATTCCCTTCAATCCCCCTTTCCCCATCCGCACCACCCTCCCCACCCTCGTTCCCCCATCCTCCCTCCCCACTGCAGAGAAGCTGGGGGTGATGTACTGTCAGATTCAGAAGGTGGCGTCAACGAGCTGGAAAATGTGGATGCGCAGCGAGCGGGGCTTTAAGCACATCTCCTCCTACTTCCACACTCACCACGCGGGGGTGAACGGGCTCACGCTCATGCGGCGAGAGATGGGAGAGGACGACGTCATGTTCCACATGACTCGGCGCGACCTGGTGAAGGTGGTGTTTGTGCGCAACCCGTTGCCACGGTTGCTGTCCGCGCATGGGGACAAGCTGGCTAATGGTGGGGAGAGCCGCAACGTCAGCATGTGGAACGAGGTGGGTTTCTGGGTTGCCGCTTTGCTTGAACGGGTTGCTGCGCTGGTCTGGTGAGATTGGGTGGATTACGGTGCTGGTGGTGGAGAGGGGAATGGAGATGAGGTGCCATGTCAGCATGAGGTGCCATGTCATGTCAGCTTTTGAGGCGCCTCAAAATGTCAGCATGCGGAACGAGGTGGGTTGCTGCTGCTTTGCTTGTACGGGTTGCTGCGCTGGAGGTGAAGGGGATCGAGGGGAGGTGCCCTGTGGGTGTGTGTGTGGCGAGGCGAGGCACGTATTCTGGTATTGCAATCCATGCTTATCCAGATCTCTTACTTCAAACCAATGCATGAGACAAGCTAGTTTTGGGAAATTTCAAGAACCAATCTGTCCAATCTGTGTTTGAACCAGCGCATGATTGTCCAGATCTTGTTGTCCTGTGTGTGTGTGTGTGTGTGTGTGTGTGTGTGTGTGTGTGTGTGTGTGTGTGTGTGTGTGTGTGTGTGTGTGTGTGTGTGTGTGTGTGTGTGTGTGTGTGTGTGTGTGTGTGTGTGTGTGTGTGTGTGTGTGTGTGTGTGTGTGTGTGTGTGTGTGTGTGTGTGTGTGTGTGTGTGTGTGTGTGTGTGTGTGTGTGTGTGTGTGTGTGTGTGTGTGTGTGTGTGTGTGTGTGTGTGTGTGTGTGTGTGTGTGTGTGTGTGTGTGTGTGTGTGTGTGTGTGTGTGTGTGTGTGTGTGTGTGTGTGTGTGTGTGTGTGTGTGTGTGTGTGTGTGTGTGTGTGTGTGTGTGTGTGTGTGTGTGTGAAGCAGTGTCGAAAGACTGCCTGCGTACGCCTTACATGCCTCTCTCCTTGTGATTACCGTGCAGCTGTTGTTGGGCCATGAGCGCTTGAAGCGCCACGGGTTCGCGGTGAACAGCACTGTGAGCTTCAAGGATTCCGCTCGCTTGGTGGCTGAGATTCTCCGAGAAACGGGCGGTAATGGGGATAAACATATTGCCACACAGGTACGAAAGCAGACTTACCGTACATGACTGCAAGTGACTGTATTGGACCTAAAGCTTCCATGATCTTTGTTCCTATAGCTTCCATTATCTTTGTTCCTATAGTTTCCATTATCTTTGGACCTAAAGCTTCCATTATCTATAATGAACCCCACTGTCAGACCAGAGTCGCTTTTGAAAAGTAAGAAAAGGCTACTGTCCAATGCAACATGCAGCTTTGTTGGCATCAAATCTCTACCCTTGAGTCTGCCTCTGGGATGGGGCTTCCTCTGGGATGGGGCTAATTCCTCAGTTGTTGACGCCTCTTTTCTTCTCATTCTTTTTTGTTTTTGTTTTTGTTTTGTTTTGTTTTGTTTTTGCTTTTTTTCTTTCCTTTTTGTTCTCCTTCCTTTACATAATGGCGTGATTTCCCCTCGCATGTGCCCCCTGACCCTTGCCGTTCTTTCAATCCGCACGCTTGCAGACACAGCTGTGCGGACTGGACATGATCAAATACAACATTGCTGGCAAATACGAAACTCTGCAAGAGGACATGCTACAGGTGGTGAGCAGGCTGAACCGGTCGACGGAAAACGCGATGAAGATTATCAAGCTGGGATCTGAGTTCCACAAAACAAGGGCGGAGCAGCGCATGCGTGCAGCGTATGATAAGGTACGGTCTAGCAGCTTTGCTGTGCTTCTCTTCGCAGTGATTGGGTACAGTGCGTAAATGCCTTTCCCTTCTGTTTGGATTATCTGAAGTATGGTAGTAGCGAACATGTTTGCTAACTCTTGCCTTTGTGCCGTGCCGACTCATGGTCTTATGATGTCCCTTCAATGCTCCCCCTCACTGTCATGCCATGCCTCAGGACACTATCAAGATTGTGGAGTCAGCATATGCTGCTGATTTTGATATTGCATTGAATAACATTAGTTACAGTGTTCCTGATGTTCTTCAAGATATTGTAGGAGTAGCTGATGCTCCTGTAAAAGTGAATGGACTAGATGTCATTTGAATTGAAGGTGGTAGTGGTCAATTTATCAGTGCTCGCATACACTCCTTAACAACACAGCGAGGAGCCGTGTGAACGAAGACATTCGAAGAGCAACACACTTGGTTTAGGGCTGACATGCGCATGCATCCAGGCCCTCACGCACGCACACACCTTCAAACCAGGGTCCCACGTAGATCATTTGTTTTGCAGTTGATGGGAAACCCCCGTTTCCCATTGGTTGACGAGGTTGGAGAAACGAAAAGGGGTGCAATGAGGGATGAGAAGGGAACAAAATCGTTTGCTGTGTTCCAAACTGTTACGATATGAAGTTTTATGAGTAAGGCATTCCTGTATGCTGCAGGAGCAGACTCTACCGAGTACGAAGTCGAGGAGTCAGAAGAGTCGAAACGTCGCAGCAACCGCCTGACCAAGACCAGTGCAGGCATAAACACTTGAAGTTGTTGGGCTGAGGATTTCAGCCTTAGGATCTTTGCAGAGAATAGGCTAGTAGGTGCTAGAGTAGCACAGCGGAAGTCCTTTGAGTGAATGTACTTGTGCTGGTATGTGAGAACAAGTAATTGATTAAAGCAAAGAGCATACAGGAATATATAGGAAAGATAGATTACAGGAAGCGGTTATGTTTATCGAGACGCGTAACGCTTCGACTATCGAGGTGGTTACAGTTCACTGAAGCGTCGCTTGCTGTTACGTAACCTCCAGGCGGTTACAGCTCGCAACCTCCAGTTGCGGTTTGATGTGGTACGCGCCTTTTTCGACTTCATACCCCTTTTGTTGTGCTTCAGTATCGGGTGAGGTTCGATACTACAGAAACGCACTAAGTCATGCGTTTATATTCCCAACACTCCCCTTCGTTTCTGGAGTGTCGACGTGGTCAGCTTCGGTCACGTGGCCCAATCCGGTGAGCAGCATGCAGTACTCGAATTTCCCCTTTGGTAGCTTCTTGGTGAGATAATCTGCTGCCATCTCGGTGGTCGGGCAGTAGTCCAGCTGGAGTTTTCCCTTCTCAATTTCGTCTTTCACGAAGAAGTATCGCAGTGCGATATGCTTGGTTCTGTTGGCGAAGCCATTCTTGTTCGCGATCCGTATCGCGGACTGGTTGTCGCAGAAAAGCGAGAAGCTGGGTACTTTCGCAATTTTCGCTTCTTCCAGCAGTTCGCGCAGGTTCAGACCTTCCTTGGTAGCGGTGCAGAGAGCAATATACTCTGCTTCAGCAGATGATAGTGCGACGAGTTCCTGCTTACTTGATTGCTAGGAGATAGTTCCGACGGGCTCGAGACGGTAAATGTAGCCGGTGCGAGAGCGACGATCGACACGATCAGCAGCGTGATCAGCGTCGACGTAGCCGAGTAGTTTTAGGTCGGTCGTCGTGCTCTTGTGATACGTTAAGCCAACTGTTGGCGTCGAGATGAAGTAGAGAAGGGCACGGTTGAGTTCCTTGAGGTGACGTTGTTCTGGGCGCTTGAGGTAGGTCGCTAGCTGGCTGGCGCTGTAGGATAAGTCCGGTCGGCACGTAACGGCGGCAAAGAGTAGGCAGCCCAGTTTCTGTTGATATTCCTGGATTCCGGCAGACGGCAGTAGGTTGGTTTCTTCAGTTGGGTCGGGCGATAAGTGACTGTAGGGTGTTGCGACGTGCGTCGGTGTGAAGCAGAAGCGTTCGGCGATAGTGCTTGCGTATTTTGAGGCGCTGAGATGAATGGCGTTGTCTTCGTCGAGAATGTTGAGCCCTAGGTACTGCGTGACGTTGGGTGAGACTGTGAGAGAGAGATCTGTCTGAAGCTCCTTTTCGAACCAAGTGACGATGGTGGTAGTTGACCCGATGTAAAGTAAATCGTCGACGTAGACGATTAGCAGGACGTAGTCGTTGTCGTGAGTGAGGCGATACATGCCCTGGTCATGGGGCAGTTGGTTGAATCCGATGCGTTTAAGTCGTGCGTGCAGGTACTGCTGCCAGAGTCGCGGTGCCTGCTTAATTCCGTATAGTGATTTAAGTAGTTGGCAGACAAGGGAAGGGTCGTCGACGAACCCGTGGGGCTGTTCGACGAAGATTTCAGCGTCGACTGGGGCGTACAGAAAAGCGTTGGCGACGTCGATTTGTCGGAGTGGGCGGCGACGTGAGGCGGCGATGGCAAGGAGTATACGCAGGGAAGTATGTCGACTGACTGGTGCAAAAGTTTCAGTGAAGTCGCGACCATACTCTTGGTCGAATCCGCGGACGACCCATCGAGCTTTAAATCGTTCGATGGTTCCGTCGGAGTTGGTTTTGATCCGGAATACCCATTTTCCGGAGAGAATGGGTCTGTCTTGTGCGAGTGATGCAGGGACGACCTTCCAGGTGTTGCGGTCTGAAAGCGATTTTAACTCCTTTTCCATGGCTTCGCGCCATTTTTCTTTGTGTTCCCCCCCCAGAGCCTGCTTGACAGAGCGAGGCTCTTCAGGTGGCGACAAAGGCCCGTGCACTGCAGCGACGAGTCCCAGGACTTGGAGTCCGCTGGGGGTGTGACGGTTCAGCAAGGGATCCTCGGGATAGACTGCTTCGTCTCCCGCTTCAGGATCAGGTGCGAATCCGGGGCCGTATCGTTCAGAGATGTTGGTGTTGACGGGTTGGGGTGTTACGTAACCAGTGTCGGCGAAATGGTAGTAGACGTCGGCATTGTTGCTGTCGCGAGGATTTTCCTCGTCCATGGGGATTGGGACGGAGCAGTAGGGAAGGGGTCCAGCAGCTTCGGAGGCGCCGTCGACGTTTTCTTCTTCCCAGTCAGCAGCGTCGGAGGGTGAAGCGAAGGCTCGGGAACCAGAAAATCCGCCGGTGGGGTCGACGTGGCGTGCGATGTTGTCCAGGTAATGGTTGAGGGTGAGTCGCTCGTAGAAGATAACGTCACGTGCTGCTACTGTTTCCTTTGTGTGGACGTCGAAGATTCGCCAGGCTTCGTAATGTTTTGCCAGCCCGAGGTGTAGACCCCACTGTGCACGTTGCGAAAATCTCCCTGCGCGTGCAGTGTGTGGGCGGTACTGTACCATACACCCAAAAACTCGTAACATTTTTGTGTTGCCCAGCTTCCCAGTCCACAACAGGTGCGGAGATGCGTTGTTGGGCAGTGAAGACGAGGACAGCAAGTTGTGCAGGAGGACAGCGTGGTCCATCGCTGCTGGCCATTCTGAGTTGGGCAGTCGAGTTCCACGTAGCAGCTTTCGCATGGTTGTCTGCAGGGTCCTGTTCATCCTTTCTGCCACACCCTGCTGTTGGTGAGCGTAAGGAAGAGAGATGAGGCGTTTGATGCCTCTTTCTGCCAAGAACTGTTTGAAGCGATGTGACTGGTATTCCATCGCGCCATCTGACTGAAAACTCTTCAGTTTTACTCCCGAGTCTCTTTCAGCGACAGGTAGCCAGGCTGTGAAGGCTTCTAGAGCCATGTCTCGTGACGGTAAGTTGACGTGCCAGACATATCGCGTTGCGGCGTCGATGAAGGTGATGACGTAGTTCAGATCTTCACGTCCTTCAGTTCGAGGTATGTATAGTATGTCGCTGTAGACTTTCTCGAGTGGTTGATAAACGGGGGCGCTCGGATTGTGGTGTGACGGGAACGGTTGGTGAGGCAGATCTGCTTCCGGGCAGATGAAGCAGGTGCCGCGTGGTCGTTCGAGTTCACGTCCGTTGGGAAGAAGTAGGGCGTTCTTGTCTAACACTCCGGCTCGTATTGTGTTGTAAAGTGTTTTGTTTCCAGGATGTCCGAGACGTTGATGCTAGATGTCTTCGGAGGCGCTGTGACCGACGGAGCGTTGATAGAAGTCTGCGTTGGCGAAGAAGGCGGCGTGTGTTGCTGCACTTCGATGAACGGCGCGTGGTACTGGTGTTAACTGTTGGGCGGCTGTCGGTGGCATGTCGATGATGAGAGGTGGTGGCGTGACGGAGGGACCGGGCTGTGGAGTTTCGGAAGGTTGTTCCGCGACGACGGTTGGTTCTTCAACTGCAGGTTCGGTGGTTGTTGGTGCTGTGACGGGTGCAGTTGTTGTTTCGATGACGAGTGCTGACTCAGGTGTTGTTGCCTGTGTTTGCAGGACGGCAAGCGCGTTGGTGCGTTCAGCTTCGGGAATGGTACGAGAGTACCAGAAGCCTTCAGGACTGAAGTTCGGGTCGAGGTCTGGCGGATGTGTCCAAGGTGCGAGAGCGACTATGCCGTCGCTGTCTGCGGTGCCTTTGTCGGGGACGAAATCGAGGACGAACACGTCATCTTGTTGGATTGCGCGGCCGATGAAGACCCCCCCTTTTCCGTGGTGAAGACGGATTTCCCGGGCGTCGGAGTCACACTCCAGGTGAATGCCTTTCGACATGAGTTGGCTGACGCTCAGTAAGTTGAAGCCGAGGTTGTCGACGACGAGTACTTTGTTTAGTTGAAGGATAACGTTTGTTTCGTTTGACTGAAGCTCCACGACTCCTTGTTTGTTGGTGCGCAGGTTTTCGTTGTTGGCGACGGTGATGATGACGTCTCGCGGAAGACGTCGTTCGCGCTGAAGAAATCGTGATGAAGAGCACATGTGATGACCGCAACAGCTGTCGAGGAACCATGTGTCTGGTCCGGTGGGTGCACTGTTCGCGATGGCGGCGTACGTTGGATTCACGTTAAGAGACGACGGTGGTGGTGACGGTTGCTCATCAGGAGTGTAACTCGGTGGTGAGCCGGTAATACACGAGTCGATGTTTGACTGTGTTGTTCGT